AAAAAAAAAAAAAAATAACAAAAAAAGTAATTTTAGCGTATGGACTCGTTTGCTAGACGGGCATCTAGTCCTCGTTTAGACTCCGGAGTATGTTGCTGCGTTAGATAGAACCCTGGCCCACTGCGTACGTAAGTAGGACCCTAGGGCTGTCAACAGCCACAAGGCTTAGCCTGACGTGTCGTATCTGCATCTGCTTGAATCAGAGAGATATCGGTAGATATCCGGAACCATCAATCAATGGCCATGCACGGAGTACATACAAGTTAGGCTTTACTACACCATTCTACTCAAAACTATACTCTGTCGTTTTCTATTCTATCCTATATTTACCAGTATACCTTACTCCCTTGAATTGACTCTATCTTTATCTTACTCCTCCGGACTAAAGAGTACTCGTCACCAGTGGATCTTATCACTAGATCGCACTAACCCAGCACACTAACCACAAACACTAACCTCCGGCCAGGGCTTTTGTAGCCGCCGAATACGTAAGCCACAGACCCTGTTGCGTCTGCCTGGTGACTTACGTAGATGCATACGAATTGACTGTGGGTATTGTATTTGTGTTGAAGTTCTTGTTGAGAGTTGGGAGTACTATGTACGGACTTACGGAAGAGGCAGAGTTTGATGTGATGTGATTGACTGGAGATAGTGACAGTTGAGACTTGTCGGCAGTTGCTCGGAATAGCATTGGCTATGTAGAATAGTCGAGCAGAGTACAGAGCAGACTCGAGAGAGTGGTGGTGTAGAGATAGAGTAGTGGAAAATGTCATGTTAAAATCTCCGGAAAATAACTAGTTAAGTTTAGTTACATATATGGATTATGTAAGCATATTTCCGCATCCCAAAAGGGTAATGAAATGTATACGGACAACAAAAAACTATCACATCTCTACCATCTCTATTCTCTGTGTTCTATATTCTAGCACAATTGAACTATTTCTAAAGACACTGGTTTTACCATTCTGTCTCTCTCTTGCCACTAAGATTCCTCCCTACAAATACCACACCTTGCACTTCTGAAACTCCTGTATACTGCTGCAAGAATGCATTCCATTCCTCACAGCACAGCAACGGCACAACATACATATATCCCCTTCCCCAGGTTTCAGTCAGATTGACCATTCTCATGTCCACAGGACTCTGTATAGTGTCAAAAATGACACCACTAACAACCCTATTGACCCTCCTCTCTCTCCTACCCCTCCTCCAAGCTCATCCGATCTCGTTACACCATCGCTCTCCATCCCCGGTACGGCCCATTCCCGCTAATCAATAAGTAAACAATGCTAACCCTTGACTGACAGAGACTCATCCCCGAAGTTAGCGACTACCTCTCAAAATACTTCGCCAACATCGGTCTCCAGAGTCTATACGAGAGCTTCTTCCCATTTGACAACAAGCACGATGCCCTTGGCAATATCTCTTCTTCGTTCGATCCCAGCCCCAGCTCGTCTGCGTCACCCTCACCGACTCCAGAGGCGACTGAATACTCGAGAGCGAATGTGATTCCGACAACGACACCGGCTCCAACCCAGAATTCAGACCCAACACCAAGTGCGACCTCAACCACGAGAACAAAACACAGCTGGTGGGCGGACTGGGATCTTGAGATGATGTCAGCATCGGCGCTATCGTCGAGCTTACGCGCTACACCGACACCGACACCGAGTTCGAGTCCGAGTTCGTCGAGACACGGTTGGTGGGCGAATTCCGATCTCAAAGCCCTTTCCTCCTCGTCGGCATTGTCGAGTCCGACACCGACATTGACACCAGTAACTGTGACGCCTATAACGCCCGTGGCGTCAGCAACCCCGACTCCCTCTGCAGATGCTGACAAGGATGATGGGGATGATCTCTGGGATTCGCTGTTTGATGCCCTTTCCGGACGGATCCGGAATGCGCTGGATAGTAGCGATGAATTGTGGTTGTCAGACGAGTGATGTCAATTCTGAATCCTGACGTTGAGGGCTGGGGTTTTTTGTTAAATCCGTTATCCCCGGACGGATGGAGTTAGGAGTTAGTGCCCAGATCAGAACCTATTTATACAGAATACACCTACTTCTCTCTCTACTCCGTACATCCTTTTAACATATCCACTAGCTCGATTGATTCTATCCAATCTTCTCCCTGCTCAACATCAGAATGCCCTCCCTCGTCGGCCGCGAAGTCGGTGCCACCGGCTATGGCACAATGAGTATGCCCCCAACCATCACCACCACAGCAATTGAGCCCCCATACTAATATTCCAGGACTAACCTGGACTCCCACCCCACCCCCTCAATCCCAAAGCTTCGAGACCCTCGACACAGCGCTCACCCACGGCGCCAACTTCTGGAACGCCGGTGAACTCTACGGTACCCCCGGCTTCAACTCTCTGCATCTCCTGCATGCCTATTTTTCGCAGTACCCCGAGAAGGCGGACCAGGTGGTGCTGGGTATCAAGGGTGGGTTGAAACCGGGACAATTGCTTCCTGATGGATCGGAGCAGAACATCAGGCGCTCGGTGGATGAGTGTCTGAGGGTGTTGGATGGGAAGAAGAAAGTTGATATTTTTGAGTGTGCGAGGCAGGATCCCAATACGAGTGTTGAGCAGACGGTCACCATTCTGGGGAAGTTGGTGGAGGAGGGGAAGATTGGAGGCGTTGGGTTGACTGAAGTTGATGCGGAAACTATTCGACGGGCGTGCGTTCTCTCCCCTCCAACCCATTTATCCTACGTTGTTGCAAATGCTTACGCTGTGTCTACAGAGCCAAGGTGTGCCCCATCGCGGCCGTCGAGGTCGAATTCTCCCTCTGGGACACTTCTATCCTCGAAAATGACATCGCCAAAACCTGCCACGAACTCAACATCCCCATCGCCGCCTACTCCCCTCTCGGCTGGGGCGCGCTCACCGGCGCCTTCACAAGCAAAGACTCCTTCCCTGAGGGTGACCACCGACGCAATATGCAAAAGTTTCAGGACGAGTATATGGTGCACAACCTCAAGCTGATTGAGGAGGTCAAGAGCCTTGCTGAGCGGAAGAGTGTGGCGCCGGTTCAGATTGCGCTGGCTTGGATCCTCACGCTGAGTGAGAGGGAGGATATGCCGACGATTATCCCGATTCCGGGCGGTTCTACGAAGGACAAGGTCACGCAGAACTTGAACGGGGTGCCGCGGCTTTCGGAGAGCGAGATGGCGGAGATTGAGGGGATTTTGAAGGAGAATGGCGTTGTTGGGAAGCGGTACTAATAGGTATGATTGTATTTGTCTGTATGAATACTTTTGTATGTTAGCTGTGTAATTGACTGGTAATGTGCTTTGACACCAGGGAAAGTTGGCAATCAGATCAAGTGTAGAATGTCGACATGCAATCTCACAGCTCACTTGGAGCGGAGATTGTCTGTATTGCAGAATTCTTTTTTTTGTTCATCATGCAGGTGATTAGCTTGTGAAATAAGTTGTACTCACCATTAGTTTGCTGTAGCTCATTCTCAGCGTAGGGTGCATGGTCTCATTCCCGTAATTATGTGGGAGAGGAGTTGTGGAAACGGAGTTTGTGCGCGAGTTTTACCAGCCTCGTCACGTGCCGATATCGTCGACTTGGATACAGAGTTAATGTTGTGACAGTCAGCGGGGCGCCAGAAACGGCTCCCATTGAACCGCTCTTCTGCCGATCCCTACCGCCTACCGTCGATAGGAATACCATTACCCTTTGCGGTATGGCGCCTACTGTATCAGGGATAGCGCCGCCTCGCGCTGCTTTTGGGCCGCTCACATGCCGCCTGAACGCATCCATTGCATCTATATAAGCCCGACATCTCTCCCTCGAAGGACCACGCACTTTCTCTTCTCTTTTTCCCCCTCCTGTCTGCCTCGCCCGGTGCACTGCCCTCTTACCAAGATGCCGCGTTATCCAACGATTGCCCTTTTCCAGTATGGCGTCGTCCAGTCCTCTCGGGGTGGCCGACGGGTCATCTGAACGATTGAGATATTGAGACCTTGTTACTGTCGCTTCATTGGAAATTGACCTATCCACGCCACCCCCTGATGTCGTGCTGCTGCTTACGATTGCAATTATAGGCCCCTTCACGCGTGGTCCGCCAGCTGATCAGCGACTTTTGAGTTTTTGGTTGTTGCTTCCGGCCATGCCAACTTCCAAGGTCCCTGCAAGCCTCCACCACCATCTGCCTCGTACATCATAACCAGATATCTTATTACGACGAGATTTCGGTGACATTGATATGCGAGGATTATCAGGGTAGGCATCAAGGATACAGTTAAGAACATAGGTCACGGTCGGCTTTGATGTTGAGGAGGGCAATATTCTTTCGGGTGCTTACAGAGCTCCTCATAGTTAATGTAGAGTAATACCTGTCCGATACGCTTCGCAACGGGATCAAGAAACCGGCTTGTCTCATCTACGTCTAGGACGCGGAGATAATTCACAGCTCCCTGTATACCTTTCCAGATGACTGGAAGTCCAAGTGCGTGCAAGTCAAGCAACATATTTTTGTTCCACCCACCCAACGGGGTTGCAACATTCCGCAAGGATCCTTCATCAAAAAATGACCTTCTGCCTCAAGGACCTTCTGAATTCGTTTCTGCTCAAGCACAAAGCTAGCATTTTCAAGTCCATAATAGATATCAACCACCTGGGACCTTTTCAGCTTCTGAAGCTGCTCCAGGTCGGACCCGAGATCTCGAACAAGCTAGAAAGCGTGAGGATCAAATATGTGCATATCTCTCAACCAACGAACCATACAAAGCTGTGTATTTTCCAGAGCGATAGGCATCACCCCCGAATCACGCTCCTGTGGCATAGACTATTACTAGCTGTAAATATCTGGAGAGAGTGAACTTACCTCGAGGCCAACCGAGATAGAAAACACGTCCATGCAACCCTCCCAATATAACTCCCAATATGTGGAGGATATGATCTGTTGCTCAGTACTCAGAATGTGCCATCGAACAAAACCCCCTCTTTGAGCTCGCATCAAGACGTCCGTTTTCTGCGAATCATTTAGTCATCCAATCTGCTCTATCTTCTTGCCAACCTGGTTTACCAGCTGTACTAGAGTAAGTACTATCTGTACGAGGCATCAAGGAGAGCTTAATCACATCAGAACACACGTCCTCATCTCAATCTGGCTCTTTGTTCTGGATCTCCTTCAAGGGAGGTGAGTGAATGAAATTAGGTTGGACAGGTCTCACTATGATTAAGCTTGTATTTCTTGACTTATACCACACCTGGAGTATGTCGGCCACTTTTGAATGCAGCGAAATCACTGCTTTTGTCTCCAGGGGTGCCTTATGAATATGATCTTCGAACCCAGCTGCCAAGGGGACATCTTGTTCTATACCTTCCATGGGTTGAACAGGGGAGCTTGATGTACTGGGATGGAAAGATCCCTGATTCTGATTCAACGGCCGAGGTTGAATATCGTCATTAGGTGGTGTGCTCCAATGGGAATTGGACTCTCTGTCGCGGTCTGGAGTTCCTGGTGGATGTGGTTCAAGCTCAGCCGGCTCAACCAGACTCATCTGCTCAGAGACTGCTTCCTCTCCCTCATTCACAGGCTCACCAGCCTGATTTTCGGCCTATCCATCTATGTTAGCTCCTTGTATTTTGGGATCAGATGTATTCAGTTCTCTAGTAAAGATATCGTAAAGAGGAAGCTTTCCAAAAAAAAAAAAAAAAAAAAAAAAAAAAAAAAAAAAAAAAAAAAAAAAAAAAAAAAAAAGTAAAAAATATTTCCCTTGTCACAGCGAAAGAGGTCAGGTATCATGCACATGGTGAGTCGGCACTGTACACATAGCCCAAGAAAAGACAGGAGCGGTCTCTTTCATGCTCATCCTGTAGTGGGCTGTTATACCTGCGACGTGTCATACTCTCCACATTGTCTGTGATGAAACTTGGTACATCACATGGTAATTCCTTGATGCGTTTGAGGTTTCACCAGTATTCTTGAAGTTGGGTGGTTATAGCTCTCACTTTTCCTTCATCAATCTGATAAAAGCCACTGGTACAAAATTCTCGCAACATTTGATCTGAATCGGCACGATTGAAGTCCTGAGCTCAGAGGGTGTCTATTTCATCAGATGAAAAGCCAAGGTGATGAGCAAGAGCAGCCATTCTACCTAGACTATATCTTTCAGTTGACTGTGCTGCCATGGTCTGGCGGCACTTGACATCAGAATGCGGTTGGACAAAGTGTCTTAGAGTAAATAGCCATAGCTGTCACGGGCTCGGAATAGTAGATAATATTGAATCAATGTTCCTATCTAAACTATTGTAGCCATCGACGAGAATATCGAATCTGGAGAAGAAAAGAGAAAAGGAAATCTATCTGGATAATGAAGAGGTTTTTTATAGGGGTTGTTGGTGGCAGGGCTGTATAGCGGCATTTGTGATGTATCATCTGTTGATGCAGTGCTGGGCCGTTATATGTGAGCTGTCATGTGTGAGCCATCACAGCACAGAAGCTTTATGTGATGGCTCAACGACCAGACAAACATTGCCAACATGCCAAAAGATGCCATACAAGCAATATGGACAAACAAGGGCTCAAGCCGCATCGCACAAAGGCTTATATAGAGACTGCACTCGCCAGAGAGATTTCCTCTCATTTTCCCTTCCCAGATTCGATATTCTCGTTGATGGCTACAATAGTCAAGATAGGAATTCAGTTCGTTATTATCTTCTATTCCGAGCCCGTGACACTTTATCCACCTTTTGATTTGCCTGTTCACAGGTTGACCATCATACCTGGGACAGCCTTCCCCTCGACTCCAGTGCAGCAAGACACAGGAAAATGTGAATTCATTAAGCATGGCTCACCATATGACCAGCAAGATCGACTTTTTGCTGGTTTAGGTCGCTCATGGAGGGGAATTGACTCCATTGAGTTCAAAGATGGGTCGCCAGTTAGTACATCAGCCATTGCAATGCTGAAGGAAAAGAGATCCCTGTTTATCATTTGTCCTAAGTTTCCCACCCTAGCTTATTGATTGCTAGGGAGATATTTGTTGCCAAAGGCAATGTTTACTTTTGTTATGGACATTGGGGTATCACATTGAATGAGATTGAACAGCTCTGGCCAGTATATCAACTCAGTGAAGTGGAGGTGGCATTGATTTGCAAAGCAGTAAGCTCTAAATGAACAAAAAAAAAAAAAATGTAAAGCCCTTAAACTGACGTTTTTGAAAGACCCGTGAAGGCCTCAGATATCTCCACAAAGACCTGGACGTCTGCTATGGTGGCCTGACAGGTGAAAATGGTTTAATAACTGAAGGGGGCGATGTGAAAATCAGTAAGAACCAATTCAGCACAATGCAGAATTTAGATGACTTGGTTGCAGCTGGTTTTGGCGAGTCTCTTCTGAAGAAGCCTAAAAGTAGCATACATAGCAAGGCCAAAGACATTCAGGCTGTCTGCAACGCAGCCCGGAGACTGCTTCGGTTTGGGCAACCAACTAGAGTACGTGGCACGATTAGCCTGCTTGCTGAGGATTTCGCCGATGCACCACTGACAACAACCGCTGATGACCTCCTACAGGTAAAAGTCATTGAATAAAGTCATTGAATAAAGTCATTGTTGTATTGCTACTGACTGAATTTGCAAGCATCCATTTCTACAGACCAGCGCAGTGCCATGGTGCATTCGCCCTGTTAATACACTTTGTACGATTGCTCAAAGTAAAAAGCAGGGTACAGAGTCTGTCTAGAGAAGTCGGACTGGATCTTGGGGTGCAGCTCAAGGCAGTCAAGCCAGATGGCAAATGAACCACCTTATCCTTTTTTTTTTTTTTTTTTTTTGACAAGTTTATGGAACATTTTGCCTTAAAGTGATTAGTTATACCTAACAAGCTCACTAACTTCTACTAGTGTGAGATAATGATTCGCTGACTACGTACTCAAAAGTTGAAATGCATGTACCTGGTCAAAACTTTTGCGCACTTATTTCCTTAGATCCTGAAGTCCATCCCTGCGGCCGACTCTGAGCTGAAGGGATCCGTCCCTAGGTTGAAAAGGCTCTGGTAAAGCAGATCGAATTCTGGCACCAGTCTGTAATTGGCTTCCGGAATTTGCAGATCTAATCCAGACGGGGGGGCATCGCCTGAATTGTCAAGAGTGGAACCGAAAGAGTACTCCTTGTGTGGGAGAGAAGCTTCTGGGTTGACCTGGTCCTCACGGTTACTGTCTAATGAAGTTCCTGTAGCACCTGCGTCGTCAAACCAGAGTTTTTGCAAGAGTTTGCCATACCGAAAGGCGACATGGCAATGGCTGGTCACCGCATCATCTAGCACATGAAGAAACCGCCTAACCAGATCCCTAATTTCACGGTGTTCCGCTGTGGACAAGGCGTCAAACACGTCGACTTTATGTAAGAATACTGCCGAGTAAATGATATAACTGTACTTATTAGTTAGCTCACTGCTCTATTTTTTCCTGTGTGATCTAAGCTTACACATAGAAACGAAAAGGCATGTAGCGAATATGTGTAGCGGGGTCTGTTTCGGTTGCTATAATCAAGATTTCCTTGGCAGCATGCACTGCTTCCAAAATATAGACGCCGTCCGCAGATGCCATGATACCATGCGAGAAGGGTGAAGGCACTTGATTGGTACCGGATGGAGACGGTCTAACAGCCTTGCTTTGGTTGTCCGCGCTTGCTCTCGAGAGAACTGATTGAAAGGAAAAAGCATTTACATATAGACGAACATATTCATAAAAGGTACGAAGCGTATGATGGAGTCGGGGGGGCGCCTTTAAATTCCCCCAAGAATCCTGCCACGTTGAGAGTGCTCTACGGAAATCATCCAAATATCGATTATAGTCACCGCGAAGCATCATCTGCCAGGTACGTGTCTTGCAGGAATACAAGATATCATGGCCATTATGGAGGATTTGGGTGAGTTCGATTGTGGCCTGCAACACTGATGCATAGTTGTGCTGAGCATCATCATTGAGTTTTAATGTAGGGAAGTCGTCGGCGGTGAAACGGGTTGATAATGATGGTGTCTACCTGCAGTAATGTACGGCTTCACATCAACAAGTTCCCCAAACTGTCTTGCAAATGCAATGTGGCCCTCATCCGTGAGGCAGGTTTTGCGGAACACCACAACGCCGAACTGTTTTGCATCATTTGTCATTAACCGCAATATTCTTAAAACCTTGCCGGGCTTGGAGGGCGCCTGAGGAGAAGGGAAGAGGGGGAGGCGCAATAACCTCCAAGTGCTTCTGCGGTATCGAGGGTGGTCAAGTGTGAAAGGAAATCAGAATTCCAACCTACCTTCCTGGCAGCAGCACGAATCTCGTCGAATGTCTCGTCGGCCACTGGCTTGGAGAAGTCCACACCACCTATCTCGGCACCGAATGTAGGGTGGAGGCTCTTGACTGTAATGTGTTTGTAACTAGAACCTTTCGTTGCGAGAGTACACATGTTGGGTGAAAGAGAATAGATTGTCTTTTGGTCAGATATTATGAAACAGTGATTTGTTTGTGAATGAAGAAAAAACCAAGGGGGGATGCCATGGTGAGAAAGGGTGGATTTATACTCCAAGTCTTGAACAAAACTTAGGGTTATACAATGTGCTCTGACATAATGGGCTTTTGATTGCCGTCTAAAGCCGATATCCTGTCTTGCTTTAACAAATGCAAAAGACTGAATAATCGGTAAATCAATCCAGGACAGCTTTGGTGTGAGATTTTTATTGCCACCTGAAGCCGATAACCTGTATTATTATTAAGGTCTTGCAAATAAAAATGTAAAATAGCTGAAAGAACCGGTAAACCATCTTCACGGTTGAGGATGGGGAGCCCTTTCCGTCCCGGCTCGGGATCCGGGGCGGTCTTCTAAAATCGTCTAAAGCCGTCCATAGCCATCCACAGCCGAAATGATGACAATGCTGCATCAAGTCATCATTTAAAATTATCAGGCGAAGAGTTTCATTTGGGGGAAGTCCTCTCCATATTGTTTGAAACTTCAACAATAGTTGCCCACAATTTCTGCTTAAATTGCCAGTAAGCCGAACTTCCAGATCCCTTGAATTTTCCAAAAAAAAGCCTTGTTCTTGCAAGAGTCTTAACATTTCACATTTTTGTGGCTAAAATTATAGGCCCTTTTGTTCGGTGCGTGGTATCTTTATGGTAGATGGCTGGTGTTGTAGCGAAAATATATAACTAGATCTATCATCAAACAATTCGGCTGTATTACTCTTAGGAACGTGTTTAACACAACATGGAACCAATGGCCACCGAAGCAGTACTCGTATTAGGCTTGCCCCACTCAAATGGTCTTAAATAAGTACTTAAAGAAGACCCGTTCCTTCATAGTTATTCAAAATGTCCACAAAGATGGAAAACTCTCAGGCCCCATCTTCTCCCCATGAAAATGTTTCTGTGAATCGGGCCAACACCTTACATTCCATCGAAACCCGATATGAGCAGATGCTTCTTGATGAAGTTCCCTGGTACTTAAACCTAGTTGCCGAGTTCGCACACTGGGCGCTCCTTGCTGGGTATCTGGTTATTCCCGGCACATTTACTTCACTTCAGAAGTCGGATGCTCTAAAGAAGAGCCTGGACAAGACTGAGGCTGGCAAAGCCATTCTCAATACGATCCAGAATTCCCCGCTTGTTGTGACGGCTCAGAGCCTCAACGCTGCCCTGATGGCTGATATCGACGTCTGTGGTGGGCGGGGAATTCGAGCTGTGCGGAGGTTCCAGGTGGAGTAAAGTCATTTAGGACCGGCCCGACAGTTTGATCCAGCCGCAATCCTGATAATTGTGGGTACTGGTTTCCATTTAGTCATTTTCTTGAAGTTAATATGGAGTACGACGTATCGGATCTCTTTCCATAATCAATGCAATGAAAAGCAAAATACATAATTCTGGGATGGGCCACATTTCGCCACAGAGATCGGTTGGATAAATAGCCAGTCCGATTAACAACGTCTTGGATACCACCGTGCCCCGTGGCCATACCACAGATTATTATTATAGGCATAAAACCCTTGTGCTCCAGAGCCCCCATTACCTTGGTATCCACCAGCTTCCCTGCCAGTTGACATTCAAGGTCGATCACAGGTTGCTCATTCCTATACCACTCTAGATTCTCCCGGATCCGTCGGTTCCGCTGTCATTGCTTCTCATTACGCAGTTCATGGACAGCTTTGTTATACTTCCCTTTGCTTCCATCGTCCGATCCTGGAAAGATTCCAGCTTTTCACGTAGATGACAATGGTGCTTGGAGAGCGCTCCTTCATCAATGTGGCCAAAGGCGGCTTGAGATGCCATATTGGCACGGTCTCTAACTTGGCTTTGCGGTCATCCCATTTCCGCTTGCGTTTGTTTACTGTGTCCTGCCGTGCACGACCACAGGGAGCTCATTGAGGGACTTGGATTCCTCAGAAGAGAGCTTATACGGTCAATTCAGGTCAATTGAGGCACTCAAGGAGCATGCAAATCACACCAGTGGTGTTTGAGAACCTGTTTTGTGGATGATGCCCTGAACATCAACATCAACATCCACCTCATAATGTTGGATGAAGGTGTGGATATCTGCGTGCTGTAGGATGACATTTTGGAGAGCATTGGTAACCTCTTCTATCCATAGGTCTAGCTACCTAACTAGCTCAAGGGCTGATGAATACTCACCACTGCTGTTGAATTCCTTTGCTCCAGTGTATTGAAGAAGGTATGGCCTGGCAACTTGATCAAAGCCTGTGATCTTGCTGCCTCAATGCATCCATGATTGCACCACAGATGCCGTCAGTCTCTTCTCCAAGGCAATTTGATATCTGGCAGTCTCCTGCTCCACCTGACAGAACACAAATTTATCTAGTATTACATCCTTTAGTTTCAGTTCCTGCTGTCCCTTGCCATCCAGTACCCCAAGGCTGTAAAGTTTCTCTGGGCAATCCAGTACTGGCCCAGTTGTAGAAATCTTCTTGAAGCCTTTGATATGAAAGAGCAACTCCGTTCAATATTATCTTCTATTCCGAGCCCGTGACATCCAGAATGACTCAAGTGAGCTCTTGTATCCAATGCCTGGGCAGTGCTGACCATTCTTGCCATGATGGATATCACACCACCAGCTGAAAAATGCATACAGGAAACAGACTATCTCATCTGAGTCTGAGATCCATTGCCAGTGCTGTACCAGATTGACACCAATGTACTGACAATATCTGCCAATAATCCACCAGTGAGCTTTCAACATAGCCTGAGGGTCAAGAGAGTTATCTACCTATTCCAGTACATGCAGGTCTCATTGGGTTTTTCCTGAGTGACGTTGCTGTACCGCTGCTGTTGAAGCTGGGAGACATCCAAGCTCTATGCTTGGGCCAGATAGTGTTCACAAGGCAGCTGGTCCTCATCATCAGAGATATTGTCACCAGGTTCATCTGAATCATCTGAATCCTCACTATCAAGTTCCAGGTCGCTAGTGGAGTCACTATCAGATCTGTTGTCTGAAAAGATCTTGGTCAGGTTGGAGCTGGCATCAGTCTGATTCTCTTTGTCATCAGATCTGACCGGTCAGGAGCGAGGCGCCATGGTCGACACAGCCCGTGGGGAACTGGCAAACAAAGGAAATCCTGGAGTATGAAATAAAGAAGGTGAGGATAACAGCGGTTTTGTGGACAAGGACAGACTTTGAAAGGACAGGAAGCGCTGTGAGAGATGCTCATGGGAGGAAGGATAGAAGCATGAAAGGACATGGTTGGCACAATGGGACTTATAACTGGAGAGAACATGATGGTTGGGGGGGGGGGGGAGCCAAAAACATTTCCCTTCCGCAGCGACCGCAGCAAGAGCGTTTAGGTAGGTGATGTCGAACAAGAAAATAACAAAAGGTCCCTTTGAGGGACATGAAACCCGTGGCCTGGCGTGGAGGGAAAACCCGTGGCCGTGGGAATACGCTCAGCTGATGCCAAGACGGGAGTTGGTTAGCAGGACTCCTAAAACGGCCGCCGAAGTAGCCCTTTTCGGCCGCCTGCTAACCGTCACATCAGTAAATCGAGTAACCAACTCTAACCTCACCCCTTCACTCTTTACCTGCACTTCACATCCAATCCTTCATTTGTCGCGTCTTCACTCCAATACCATCGCAATGGACTCCCCCGGCTCCCCCCTCTCGTCCATCGCCTCGGACGAAATCTCAGACCGCGAAGATGCAATCCCATCCAGCACCAACACCAACATGCCTCCCTCGAAACGCCGTCGCACCGGCATAGCTCCCCAGGATGGCAACACAACCCCCATCTCAACAACCTACCAAGACCAAGAAGACCTGCAACCGCCCGCCTCACCCGCAACCTCCATCTCCTCCGACACGTCCGGCGAAATCCCCAACTCGCCCACCACGCTCGCGCTGCTGGGGAACAGCCAGGAGGAGGACTACAGCGGACAGGGCAGTGACCAGGTGACGGTGTGTCGATGGGAAGGGTGCGAGTTGGGGGATTTGGGGAATATGGATGATTTGGTGGGACATATTCATAATGAGCATATTGGGTCGAGACAGAAGAAGTATTCGTGCGAGTGGGCGGATTGTAATCGGAAAGGGCAGACGCATGCTAGTGGGTATGCGTTGAGGGCTCATATGCGGAGTCATACGAGAGAGAAGCCGTTTTACTGTTCTTTGCCGGGTATGTTTACCAGAGACCTACTTGCCTGCGTGCCTTGTTACTAACAGTCGCAGAATGTGATCGCAGCTTCACCCGCTCAGACGCCCTAACGAAACACATGCGAACCGTCCATGAAGCCGAAGCACTACGCCCTCTCGAGGCTCTCAAAGGCACTACCTCTCTTCCTGTCATCGGTGGTCCCACTGCAACCCCAGCTAGCAAGCTCCAACGCATCAAGCTCAAGCTCACCCAACCACCGCGCGACGACGCCAGCGAAAGCGCAGCTGAAGAACACCCACCCGCAGTCCCAACCATCGATGATGATCTAGGCGATATCGACATCGACCTTCCCGAATACGGCCCCGAAATCGGCTTCGACGAGCACGAACTTTCCCTCCCCCCACGAGACCTCTACCGTCTCCTGCGTCGCCAGATCCACTGGGCAGAAAAGGAAGGCGAGAACCTGCGCGCAGAATGGGAGCGCACAATTCCGAAGCGCAAACAATCCTGGTTAGAGAAGGAGGGTGTCTTTGACGACGTGATCGATGCGGAACTGCGCTGGTTCGGGACAATTGTCGGTGTGCATGAGAGGGAGGGCACGAGTAATGATGTGACGAATGAGCTATTTCCGACACCCCCGAGGGAAGCTGAGCGCGCGCTGAAGAGGTATAAGCTCGAGAAGGGGTTGATGCCCGAGGAGGATGCAAGGCAATTGAAAGAGACGGATTACTTTTATCAACCCGGGCAAAAATTCCCTGTGGACTATTAGGTCTTCTTTTCCTTTTTATTATTTGGGCGGTTTGTTTCATATGGGAACTACAATGGCGTTTTTATTGGAAGCATCTTATTATTCTCTATGCTTCTTTCGGGCTTTACGGAATACTTCTCTACTAATACAATTTCTGACTACCGGAGTATATGTGATTCCCTGCTACTGTCGCGCAAACATTTTGTACAACCATCACATCTTGCATGATTTGCCTGCTCGGCTCCCTGCAGTTTGTTTCCTATTATTCTTCCCCTCGTCTTACATCCTGCGCGTCATCTCCAAGGTACATAGATAATGAGCTCTTTGTTGCATCCACTTTTTTTCTATCCTCAAAAACCAGCAAAAACAAGCTAAAGAAATCCTCGCCAAAATGACCGACTATGTTCAATATGTTTGTCCATCAACCCCTACTTGAATCAATCTATCAGGACTAACCAGCCCAGAAACTCCAAATCCGCTACGAAAACTACGACGCCTACGAGAAATACGACGAAGACATCCAAGACATGTAAAACTCCTCCATCTTTCAAAACCAATCACGCTCTAACATGTCTAGACTCGAATCAAAATACGGCGAACTAGGCGCTACGCATATCCAACAGTGTTATGTGAGTCCGAGTATCCGTTTACTCCTGGTTACTAGGTATGTCTATCTATGTTTTCGTACAAGGGATGTCAGGGGAGAACTGACAAGACTAGCTTCGAGGCACCGGACGGTATATTGAGTGAACTGAGGAGTGTGAAGCTGGGGGAGGGTATTGCTACTGATGTTCAGATGGTGGAATATAGAAGGCGTTGATTTGGGAAGTATCCTCACATGTATCTACACTTCTCTGGATAAAGCGATATCAAATAGAAGAAACTTGACACCATTAAAGAAGGGCTTCAGATCTGGTGCTTAGAGGTACGTAGTTTATTTCTTATGCTGTTCGGGGTTCTTTTCCACGTACAACTAATACGGGATGCATGTTGACCATGACTGCTTATGCTTAGTTCCACAAGTACCCAATTATGAAGTGACGATTTTCTGCATGATACGTAGCGCCTCAATGCAGCTCTGTGTCAGCTGAAGTTAGTATCGAATCCTGAATGTTGGGTATAAAGATGAGATCTCAGGACAACTTCAGGACATTATCAAATCCAGAACGAGCTATACAAGCAAGCACGATGACCCTCTACTATGTATGTCCGTCCGTTCGCTCTCCAGTCGAGCCAAGTCTAACCGATTCTTCACTTCTAGAAACTTACAGTCCAGTTCCTCAATGAGGACTTTTGCAACATATACAGTCGTGATATTTACCATATGTACTCCCCCTTTCTCTGCTACTTATAACTTTACGCTAACCCTGGACACATAGACTAGAAACCAAATTCACTCAATTAGGCGTTGCGGAGATCGAACCGGGAGATACAGGTCCATATTCCCATTTAGTCTTCACTGCCACGTATGTCTATGCTTTCTCAGAGTCATCTTATCGACTGTGCTAATAGAAACTAGCATCGGGGCGCCACCCAACGTCTTCTTTAGCGATTTGCGAGATGTATGGTTGGGAGACGGAATCAGGACTATAGTTCAGCCGTTGTCCTAGTTCTGTGGGTTGAATGCATGATTCAATCGGAGTTTAATGCACGGGTATCGGGCTGAGAGGGGCTGATGTATGTCATTCATGCATGCCGTCAATGTAGGGTTGGGTCTTCAGTTTGTTCGGGATTCAAACGGAGACTAGGGTCTTGATCGGCAATATCCTATTTTCTATGCTATTGTTTCGGGCTTTCTGGAACATTTCACTAGTATTCCCTGTTGTTAGCACAGATTTATGCATCTATTCTGCAAACTCATCACATGTTTTGCGTAATATTATATTGCTCTTGTCTATAGGCTGCTCACTGCAGATGTTTGTTTCATGCCCTTGTCTGCTTACGCCCGACGTCATCTTAGGTATAAAGAAGTAAGACGGCGTCTATTCCATAAAATACAACGATTCTTCTGTTTCTCTCCAATTAACCCGGAAGAAAACAACAATCATCCCGCGCAATATGCCCGAATACGTTCGTCCACCCCTTGGATACGGAGGTCTACCAAAATTAATTCAACTTAGAAACTCATGATCCGCTACGACAACTACGTCGTTTACGAGAGATATGATAGCCGCTTGCAGAAAATGTACCATTCCCCGATCTCTATACATCATAATTCGACTAACATGCTATTGACCTATAGAATCGAAACCAAATTCGGCGCATTAGACGCTACGAATATCCAACCATGTTTCATGAACCCGAGCCTTCCTCTGCTTCTGATTACTAGGTATGTCTTGTCTGTCTTTTGCCATTCTTCATCTCTAGGCAAGCTGACAAACTACTCCAGCTTCCACGCACCGGCCAGCGTCCCGTTGAGTGAGCTGAAGAATGTAGTGCTGGGGGAAGGTATTGCGACTGATGTTCAGCCTGTGGAGGAGTATAATAGGTTTACACTTGGTTGATACCTTGGTATCTACGTATGTATCTGAATATGAGCGATATCAACTACGGAGTAGAAATAAATTTCACTCCATTGACTACATCAAAGATTGCAAAGTACAGGAGTATAGAAGCGCTTGATTAGGAGTAGCCTATTCACCATTCTATCCTATTCCGGACTCTGCAGAATTATCTCTCCGGCTACCCTGTTCCTCTCACCGTCACTAACATCGCTTACTGCATTCTGCAGGATCATCACATTCTTGTGTGATTGATGCTACATCCTACATACCCAATTTCTTATCAGGCTCATCTCACCGCAGTTTTTTGCTCCCTCGGCTTACAGGCTAACGTAATTCTAGGGTACAAAGAAGAATAGATCTATACTGAGTCTACAATGTAATCACTATTCCATTCTCTACTCTCTCGGCCATCGGAAAGAAGAATTCTACTGTGCAAGATGCCCGACTACATTAAATACGTTCGTTCATTCTCCACCCTTCCCTCCTTCTATACCTTCGATTTACCAAAACTAATGATGTACGGAAGAAACTCCTAATCCGCTATGGCAACTACGCCGCCTACGAGACATATGACAAAGACATCCAGGAAATGTCAGTTATCTATACTCCTTCCTCTCTAAGTACACTGTACCTAACAAGTACACGTTTCTAGACTTGGAACCAAATACGGCGAACTAGGCGCCACGGACATCCAACCATCCTATGTGGGTCCGAGCCTTCCTCTGCTCTCGATTAGCAGGTATGTTTGGTTCCTATGAGGACGAACGAAGCGACTAACAAACAACCTAGCTTCGAGGCGCCGGACGACGTCCCATTGGATGAGCTAAAGGATGTAATTCTGGGTGAGAATATCACGACTGATATCCAGCCGATGGGCGAATACAGGCAGTATAGATATAGTTGAGATCAAGGTCTACTCTACGGAGTACTATAGGGATACAAATCTATTGGTCTTTTGACTCATTGCCGAATAAGGGCAAGTACAGATCTAGCGTTTATCTATGTAGTACCAATCCATCTCACTCTGGCGCTGTGCATGTTTGTCAGTAATCCTTTTTCTGCTTTTTCCTGAGGTATCCAATCAAACAGACGAGGGTGATCCTTTCTGTATGCTGCCTACTTGGCTATCGCTGCAGGTTCCCCGTCAGCTGAAAATCAGTCCCGAATTGAATCTTGGGTATATAAAAACGGGATCTCTCAAGAAACCGTCATCTCAGTCCAGAATCCCAAGGACAAAAACAAAAACTCAAAAATATCCGCAAAAATGGTCTTTCCCTATGTACGTCCGTTAAGCACGCAATTCTAGTCAAGTTAAGTTCAACTAACTCTGGGTTTCATTCCAGAAACTCACGGTCATATATTCCTGCGATAGAGCTTATGACATATACGAACCTGTTATTTACCAATTGTATACCATTCTCCCTTCCTGTCTGCCCGCTATATTATACTCATATAGAGTGCTAAAATGTCACCCAGACTAGAAACTCAATTCGGTATGTTGGGTGTCACGGATATCCAACCGAAGGTTACAGATGCATCGTCCCATCTGATCTTCACTACCATGTATGTCGCTGTCACTAACTCTGCCATTCTATTACCAATATGATGGTTGGATACTAACAAGCCCAGCTTCTGCGCACCGGAAAACATTTTCCTAAGCGATTTGCAAGATGTATGGTTGGGAGAGGGTATCCATACTATCGTCGAGATGTTGTACTAGCTATGTATAAATGGATTGATCACCACTGCATGGATCAATCAGAAAGTCGGATGGGTCGAATATCGGGCGGATAAGTCAGATGTGCTGCAATGCATGCATGCATACCTTAGACTAGGGTTATCTTGTTTGTTTGTTTGTTCGGAGTACTTGTACTCTTGTCACACCGGAACTAGGGTCTGGCGTTTGATTGGAGGTATCATATCTTGAATTGTATTCTTTCGGATTTCGCGGAATGCTTCTCTGCCAATACATTTGTTTTCGCGCAATTATCGCCATATCATACGTCCTTTCTCCGGTAAACTTATGTTCCAACGTCATCTTATCTTAGGGTATAGATATAGAGAAGTAGCGTAGAGATCTCTAATAAAAGACGGTCACCAGAATCGAAGGCAAATTCGGTGAAAAGGGTGCTACTGATATCCAACGGTATCATATGAGCCCGAACTTCCCTCTGCTATTGGTTACTACGTATGTCTGGTATACTCATCTTTCACTATTCAAGAACTAACGAAAGTAGCTTCGAAGCGCCGGACGATGTCTCACTGGAAGAACTGAAGAGTGTCAAGTTGGGGAACAGTGTTGCATTTGATGTACAGCCGAACTGGGAATGAGATATCATAGTAGAATTGAATTCATACCAAAATATAAAACACATCAGATACCAATCAAACTCCAAGACGAATCCCTGATGAACATAAGATACACGAAGCGGAAATGACCAACCCAAACATAGTACATTGGACCCCATGTCCCAACTATGCGGGCATATGAATAAAACAATATCTGCGTCAGGAAGTCAGGGACCAAGACTTGATGAATATATAACACAAAATCGGAAAGTATAGTTGAACAACGCCACCACGCCATGCAAGTAGATCTTTCATATAAAAAACGATGAAAAAGCGCCTCTGCGCTTTCTGCGCTTCGTCGAATCGTCCCCGTACGCCGGATGCCATGCTGTCCCAATCAATGCATATGTACCTCGAAACAGACAAGCAAAACGAAAGAAACGCATGATCAACAAGTGGCCTTGCCAGGTCCATCTATATATAGACTGGATGGTCCTGGCAGGAAGAAACGAAAGAGTCATGTAACCCAAACGCTGCAAGCAAAAAGGAGATATAGCGCAACAGAAAACGCTGGATAGCACCACCAGAAAGCGATTGCACAAAATCGCAAGAAAATGACACATATAAAAAGATAACAAAATAAGAAGAGATCATGCCCGTACAATAATAAAACATGCCGAAATATGCTCATGCTCATCTAATTCCCGTTGGACACGGGTTTGGCCGCATGCGCATGCAGTTTCTGGTACATTTCGCGCAACTTGGCTCCCCCTGCGTCTTTGTTTGGCCAGTAGTTGACCGAAACATAATCCCTATCATATAGTGAGTAACCATGACCCTATCTTGTTCCGCCAGGACAACTTACCATAACCGTACTTCCAGGGAATGTAGCGATTTTTCGCCATGCAGAGTTTTCCGGATAAAGTCACCAATCAAGCCGAGAAGACGCCGTAACTCCGAAGCCCGTTCCAATTTGTTCGCAAAGTTCTCTTTTGTAACCGCAGACACCTTCTTGAGATCTTCCCGGATGGGCTTGAAGAACAACCGAGACATATCCTCTTTCCCAGAGCTACCATTCTCGCCGCTCTTGCGCCGACGCACCTCTTCGCTTGAGGCATCCGAGACCCGACGAGACCGGTCATTGTGATGTACAGATCTGGCACGAGAATCAGGAGTATGATGCCTATCCACACTGTCGCGATGGGTATGAGACCGATGTCTCGACCTATCCGCCTCCCTCAGGCCCTTACGGGACATTGAAGGAGCCGGTGATGCCGATACACTGGCACTGGCCGGGGCGCGAGAATTCTTCCGGTTGTTGCGATGATGGTTTTCAACCGCCCTTCTGGCGCTGACACTGGAGCCATTGGTAACCTTGTCTCGCAACACAGACAACAGATAATCGGCACGACGAACGAGGTGCACCGCACCAGGTGACTTGGTCGACTTATCCTCGGTAGTAAGCCGCTCAGTCTTTCGCTCCACCCGGTGCTCTTCGAGAAAGAACTTGTCCCCGAGTCCCAGATCAGTGTCATCCCGAATCTGAGTCCATGCACCATACCCGTGACGAGCAATGCCAATACAGAGCATACCGTCCTCCCGTGCACCCCAGCTGCAGGTGTAATCCGGAGCCTTGGTAGCTTCCGGGACACGGAAGTTCCTGAAATCCGACAGGGCCGCCGCGTCCCTCAAGATGCGCATCTCAGCGGGTCGCTCGACGATGGTGTATGCATTGAGTCGCTTCACCCCGTGGAGATCGAAGAGAACCGCCTTCTTTTCTTTCTTCGTTGGCACCTTGCCTGCCCTTTCCAGTGCGTCTAACTTGTCCATGTCTTCCCGCACCAGATTATTAGCTTTGTCGGTAATTTCACGAAGCGAGGCTTTGACGGTCTCTCTGTCACGGTCCAACAGGCGAGCCTCCCGGATGATATCTTCTTCGCGGTCCTCAATGTCACCGTAGCGTAAGAATGCCCGCATAAGATGGCGGTATTCCTTTTCAATAAGCGGTCGCTTCGGATCCCGGGAATGGTTATTGTCGGACTCGTTTCCATCATCCATGCTAACCTGTGCCCTAGCTTGCCGTTTTGCCTTGCGCTCTTCACGGGTATCTTCCTCTTCCGTGGGTTGATTGCGCTTGCGTGGCCGATTCTGCTCAATGACATCCTCCAGATACCGTTCATCGGCCTTCTTCTTCTCATCGGCCTTGATCCCTTCGAGTTGTTCTCTGGGGATTATGTCATCCCAAGTGAGGTCGTCCACCTTGATATCGACATAGTTGAACGCCTTGAGGAACTCCTCACCACCATCTGCTTGGATCTCTTCGGCTTGCTCCGTTTGGTGCAATTCAGCATTGGCGAGAACGGAGTCGATGTCGAGCTGCTCCAGCTTCTCCTGGTTGCCGGTTTGCTCAAACATTCTCTGGCCGCGGCGCTTGAGAATACGAGAAATATCATCTGTCGAGTTTGGTTCGCCAACGATGCCTCCACGAGCCATCTTGGTCTGGATTTCAGACGCCTCCTTGTCAGTGACACCACGCTGGATAGTAATCCATTCGAGAAGGAGCTTGTTGCGAGCTCTTTCGATGACTTCTTCCTCGACAGTGTCCTTGGACACTAGACGATACACGCTCACGGGCCTTGTTTGTCCGATCCGATGGGCTCGCGCCATGGCTTGCAAATCCGCCTGCGGGTTCCAATCTGAGTCAAACAGAACGACCGTGTCCGCCGTCATCAGGTTGATACCAAGTCCACCTGCTCTCGTGGAGAGAATAAACGCAAAGTCACTGCTGCCGGGCGCGTTGTAATGTTCAATTGCCAGACGACGCGAAGCAGCAGCGATAGTTCCGTCGAGACGTTGATAAGTGTAGCCACGGTAATCCATGTAATCTCCCAGGAGATCTAGCATCTTTACCATCTGACTGAAGATTAGGACACGATGTCCGTCACGTTTCAGCTTGGCTAGGAGCTGATCAAGCAACATCATCTTCCCACTACTGGTAATCATCGCACGCAGTATATCCTCCCTGCGTATGCACCCGTCCAGAATCTTATTCTCGGCAGTAGGAAACATGAAAGGGTGGTTGCTTGCTTTCTTGAGTTCCATCATTATGTTCAGGAGAGATTGTTTCTGCCCTTTGGCCCCATCGTTCAAAGCCGCATAGTTCTTGGTCAGGATGTTCTTGTAATACTCCAACTGTACATCCGAAAGCTCGACACGAATGATCTTCTCGGTCTTTGGAGGAAGATCAGACTCGACCTTGGACTTGGTCCGTCGTAACATGAAAGGCTGGATAGACTCAGTCAACTCTGCAAGCTTGTGGGATGCAGCATCGGCATTCAAATCCATGTCTTCATCAACCTGGATCGCACCTGGGTTTAAGAAGTCCAGGAGGGCGGAGAGCTCAGCAAGGTTGTTCTGGATAGGCGTGCCAGTGATGAGGAGGCGGGCCGGTGATCTGAATTCGAGCAACTTGATGTAAAGCTGAGAATCACGGTTCTTCAGACGATGGGCTTCGTCGACAGCCATGAATTGCCACTTGAATTGGCTGAGGAACGCGGAATCTTGGAGGACATATTCGTAGGTAGTGAGCAATACGTTGAACTTGGGGCGCTTGGGATTCCCGTCCAGCATGAGCTCGTGCTCTTTGAGGACGTTCCGAGCGGCTTCGTTGCCGTTATAGACGACGTAGTTCAAGTCTGGTGTCCAGTGATCAAACGTTTCGGCCCACGACGGCATAGTCGATAGCGGAACAACGACGACGAAGGGCCCCTGCTGGCGCCTTATATGGCGCAACCAATTGATGAAGGCCACGGTCTGTACTGTTTTCCCCAGACCCATCTCGTCTGCGAGGACGACATTGCGATTCCTGGTCCAGTTGTATGCCATAAAGTTCACTCCCTTCTCTTGGAACTCTTTCAGCTCTCCGTTTTGCAGGAAGCTCGGGGTGCCCTTCATGGTCTCAAACTTTTTACGCGTCGCGGGATTGGTCTCGGACTTGTCAGAGATAGGAGGGTGGGATGAACGGTCGAGGAAGCGATCGATTTCCCGTTGGGCGATCTGACTGACGAGCTCTTCACTCTCCCATGTGCAGGAATCGTAAAAGAGACGCTTCCACTTGACGAGATACTCGGGGCCCTCCTCTTCATCACGCATACCAATAACGCGTTCAACTACTTTGTAGTCCTCAATTGCTTCTACATCTCTCTCACGATCCAGGTTCCATTTTTCGCGATCCTCCGGTGGCACGTCATCGTCAATATGAAGGCGGATGTCTTCGGACAGGATTTTGCGAATATAGTTGTCAAGGCGACGGGTGCTACGGCAGTTGGCGAGAGTCTCAGACGCCTCCCACGTCGCGTGATAATGTGACTTCCCTTGCCACTTGATATAGAATTCAAAGTGGTGACGATCCAAGTCAGTGTTCTTGGGATCGACGCCCTCCTTCAGGCGATGATTGAGGACGACATCCACCGCAGGGCGGTTGTCTTCTTCCACCGTATCATTGGCCCAGTAGCTCTCCAACACGTCTTCAGGGTCATCTTCAAACATCGACTCGTCATCGTCCTCACGATAGTTCGAGACCCTGGATGCGTTTCTAGTGGAGAAACGAACCTCGCCGTGAGGGGGCTCATTGCTTGACGCGGCTTGCAGCAGACGTCGTCGCTTTGCCTTGCTGGCACGAGCGCGAGGTCCTCCGTACTCATCACTATCCGAATCTTCAGTTTCATCCTCGTCCTCCTCTTCTTCTGAGGAGAACGGCGACTGGGTGGCGGAGTGGGAGGGACGTTTCGAGTTTTGCCGGGGTGCGGCCTGGCGTCGACGTTGTGTACGCGGTGCGACTGCATCCGAGTCCGAATCTGAGTCAACTATTTGAAGCGTCTTGCGAGCACGACCACTTCTTCGAAGTCCATAGAGGTCAGGATTCTGTCTCATGAACTGAGTTTCATCCATTGAAGAGGATTTGCGCTTGGTACCCCTTCTCGCTTCTGAGGATGAAGAATTTTCATCATTGGAGGGGCTGCTCTCCCGGACCCCGTTCTCCATTGTGAATTCTTCTTCATCCCCGTCCGCATCGGGGGAACCAGCTTCGTAGGACTCGGATGCGTCGCGAGGAGGATGGGAGGCATTGCTATCTGAATCATTGCCAGCGAACTCGTCCTGGGCACTGGCTGTATCGAAGACCGGAGAGGCCATGTCACCGTTGGCAACCGCAGCCATGGTAGAAGACGCGAAAGTAGATGGGATCACCACGCTAGTAGCTATCGACGACGAAGAAATCAGCATTGAGACACCACGCAATCCCGGAGGGAGATGCAAGAGGCAGTAGGGGGTAAATCAGACATACGCGACTCAGTTTTCAATCAAATGGAAGCAAAAGACCCAAGAGGTCCAGTAGAAGATGAGGTATGATGTAGGAAGATGGATTTTGATGACGAGTGCGATGAAAACGCGACAAGAGATGATGATGAGACAAGTAGTGAAAAATCAGATTCGAAGGCAGAATCAGACTCAGGAGACGAAATACCACGAGTCTTCAGCCTAAGAAACATTCATCAACGTCCTCAGCAACGTAAACGTACAAGCTCTTGAGCTTTTAGCGGTGGGTCGATAGGCGTGGAGAAGTAACCCCAGCCGGGCACGCCTCTTTGCAACACGTATGAAAAGGCTAAGAAATAACAGAAAAATACTCACGATCCATAGCTTGGCGACCCCAGATTTGGGGAAATGCAAAAGATCAATGAGGAAAGGAACGAATGCGGGTTGGTGGGTGGTTGACTGGGGCGTCGAAGTGGTGGGGGAAGAAGAACGGACAAGAAGGGAGAGAAAGAGTGAGAGAATCTGAGTTGGTCGTCGGCAGCTGTGCTGGTGCCTGAGGCCTGCAGAATCAGGCATTAAGGCTATATGTGTGTCACGTGTGTCACGTGGTGGCACAAGCGAGTCCCAATTGGGATTAGCATTGCTTATGCATCACGTGGGTGTCGGATAAATGTCCGGGCCGGTGCATAAACTGACAGCCAATCAGCGGTCTCACAAATAATGTGGGAGTTTCTACCTCAGGCATTAAACAATTAGACGCCCACGAACAATAATAACGAGAATAAGAGAGGCCAGCAAAAAAAAGGTGTCACTAACTGCCCCTTTCGTTTCTCTCTTCTTACTTATTCTGACTCTTTTCGACTCATCGCAGTTGTTGGACAGTACTTATATATTTTTGTGCTGTTTTACTACGGTCGAGGTCATCAATCGGTCATTTAGTTGGGTTCGCTTTTTTTGTGGATTTTTTTTCTCTTTTTTACAGCCCACTTTCTCCCCTCACATTATACACCACAACAACCCCGACGTGTATAGTTGAGATCGCGTGATATCAGACACCATGTCTGACAAGTTGACCCGGTATGGCATTCGTCTAGTATCTATGGATTAGATGAAAGAAACTGACTGGTGTTCTGTCGCTCAGTATTGCTATTGTCAACAGTGACAAGGTTCGCGACCCTTCCCCCTACAACGATGGATTGAGATGGTTGCTAACAGGAAGCTTTGTTCTCGTTTAGTGCAAACCGAAGGTACGATTACTGAACCAACGTCGTTGAAATGCGTGACGGTGATACTCATATTTTGCAGAAATGTCGCCAGGAGTGCAAGAAGTCCTGCCCCGTCGTCCGTACCGGAAAGCTCTGTATTGAAGTGAGCCCCGAAGCCAAGATCGCCTTCATTTCCGAACGCCTTTGCATTGGTTGCGGTATCTGTCCCAAGAAATGTCCGTTCGGCGCTATCCATATCATCAACTTGCCTACCAACTTGGAGACCCAGGTTACCCACCGCTACTCGGCCAACAGTTTCAAGCTCCATCGTCTTCCCATGCCCCGTCCCGGTCAGGTTCTCGGTCTCGTTGGAACCAACGGTATTGGAAAGAGTACGGCGTTGAAGATTCTGAGTGGAAAGCTGAAGCCCAACTTGGGACGCTATGAGAACCCTCCGGACTGGGAAGAGATCCTGAAGTACTTCCGTGGTTCTGAGCTGCAGAGTACGTGTTATTTGCTCACATTTGATGGATCAGGATTGTTGCTAATTAAGCGCAGACTATTTCACCAAGGTGCTCGAGGACAACCTGAAGGCTGTCGTGAAGCCTCAGTATGTCGACCAGATCCCGAGAGCTGTCAGGGGCCCGGTCAAGGGTGTCAAGGACCTGATCAAGGCTCGGACCCAGATGGACAACATGGAGCACACCATGGACGTCCTTGGTAAGGGTTTTCCTTGCTATTCCGCGGGTGGTACAGTCGCTAACACTCACACCTCTTGAATAGAGCTTCACCAGGTTGCCGGCCGTGACATTGACCAGCTCTCTGGAGGAGAACTGCAACGTTTCGCCATTGGTATGGTCTGTGTCCAGAAGGCCGATGTGTAAGACAACCCTTTCATATAGCTACTTTGAACGGTCCTAACAATGCGCCAGTTACATGTTTGACGAACCCTCGTCTTACCTCGATGTTAAGCAACGTTTGGCCGCTGCCCGCTCGATCCGTGAGTTGCTCCGCCCCGATGACTATGTCATCGTTGTCGAGCACGACTTGTCCGTGCTAGACTATCTCTCCGACTTCATCTGTGTGCTTTACGGAAAGCCCGCGCTTTATGGTGTTGTCACCCTCCCTGCTTCCGTCCGTGAGGGTATCAACATCTTCTTGGATGGTCACATTCCCACTGAGAACTTGCGATTCCGTGAGGATTCTCTCTCTTTCCGTCTCACCGAGGCTGGTGATGACTTCATGGCCGACAGGGGACGTGCGTTCACTTACCCCAGCATGACCAAGACCCTGGGCAACTTCAAGCTGCGCATTGATGGCGGTCAGTTTACCGACTCTGAGATTGTTGTCATGATGGGCGAGAACGGAACTGGCAAGACTACCTTCTGTAAGATGCTTGCTGGTGCTGAGAAGCCGGACGGTGATGCTGCGATTCCCCGCATGCACATCAGTATGAAGCCCCAGAAGATTACTCCCAAGTTCCAGGGTACTGTGCGTCAGCTTTTCTTCAAGAAGATCAAGGCCTCTTTCTTGTCCCCTCAGTTCCAGACCGATGTATACAAGCCCCTCAGAATCGACGATTTCATCGACCAGGAAGTTCAGAACCTGTCTGGTGGTGAACTTCAGCGTGTTGCCATTGTCTTGGCTCTTGGTATGCCGGCCGACATCTACCTGATTGACGAGCCTAGTGCGTATCTAGACTCCGAGCAGCGTATCATTGCCTCTCGTGTCATCAAACGTTTCATCATGCACGCCAAGAAGACTGCCTTCATCGTCGAGCACGACTTTATCATGGCCACCTACCTTGCTGACCGTGTCATTGTCTTCGACGGCAAGCCGTCCTTTGACGCCCACGCCAACTCTCCCGAGTCCTTAGTCACTGGCTGCAACAGCTTCCTACGCAGCTTGGACGTCACCTTCCGTCGTGACCCCAACAGTTACCGTCCCCGTATCAACAAGTACCAGTCCCAGATGGACCAGGAGCAGAAGTTGCACGGTAACTACGTAAGTAGTCTTCTTGCACTCAAAAAGATATTCTATCATAGCTCAAAGGCTGACCATTTGATTTATAGTACTTCTTGGAAGAAGAAAGCTGAAAAGGGCATCCCTGGCAAGCATAACCGCGACCATCACCGACGTGATGGACGCGACACCCACCAGCGACAAGACCGGCGTCGTGGTAGACGAAAGAACCTAGTCAATTGTTCCGGCTTTTTCAAGGCCTCTGCTGCTCAGAGCAGGCGGCGTCGATGCGGTGTGCGCCATTGTGACGGTGGTGAGGCTTGCGCGACGGAGGATGGTGGTGATGACGATGACGATGACGATTCCGCGTAGGAGTGGACTGTCTGTCCTCCCTAGTTTCCTCGCAGGTTACTGTCAAACAGTCATCTCGATATCGCCCATCCCATCCGACGCCAGCATGTCATTGAGTGTTTCAATTTGTTTTCTCGGGGGACTCCAAAATAGGAGTTTCCTTAGGGCTTTGTGTTTGTGGGCATCGGAAAATGTTAATTTATGGGTTGGGCATTGATCATCGGAGTTTCTTTGGTTTCGCAAAAGCTTAGATGATGTTATGATTTATTTAGATGGCTACTGGTGAGGATATAACTAGGAAAGGAAGAGGTCAAGCTCAGACAGATGACTGGCTACCTTTCGGGCTACCTTTCGTTTATCCTACTTGAATTTGAGTCGATAATTGCTATTTATTACGTTCCAAGTAACTGATTATACATCTATTGTTGATCAATCCTAATACCATAGTGCATTCTCCGGTGTCGATGTTCCTGAAAGGTTCCAGACAATTATCATGTGACCATGTGGCTCTCCATTTTTCTCCAATCCTCGCTTGTTCTTCCAGTCTGAGTATCCCAACCGATCAAACGTCTTATACTTGTCCCTTTGGACTGTACATATCAAGTCATATTTCTCGAATCGAATTCAAAACTCAATGTCGCTTGACGACCACGTCTGCTATGCGGAAGACGACGAGACCATTTGACAAGAGAAATTATATCAAAGGATGCCGGCTCACTTTCCGGCAACATGTTTCCGCTCCTCCATTGCGGCTAGAAACCTTCAAGGGCTGCACATTTGATATTCATGAGCGTGACAAGATGGAAGAACTGCACCCTATTGAACAATGCCTTCAATACCCCCCATTACCAAAGCCATATGGCTCATCCAGTCTTGAACTGCAGATTCATGACTCAGTGTGAATCGGTGACCGTCACCATACTCAACTAGTTGTGGTTAAAGTTCTCACAGAAGATCCTCCAGTTAAGGGCCTTTCACAGGGCCAGCAGGTGGTGGCTAAGCTATATGATCCTATGTATATGAATGATGATGGATTCTACATCAATCCATTCCTGGTTGCTGATAAAGAGTATACCAATGAGACAGCAGCTTATCAGGCCCTTTCGGACTTCCAGGGCTCTAAATCCCTCGGTACTATGGGTCTTATTCTCTTGATATCCCTCTTCCTGGGCCATTGGAAGACAAGCGCAGTGTCCGACTCACTTTGATTGAACTCATCACAGGCCGTCAATGCCAAAAGCTGAACCCTGTGGTTTTTCCCAAGAAGCTCGCCAAAGCATCATGAAGTCTCTCATTGAATTCGACACGTTGGTCTACGCAAAATACATGTCTCTTAGTGATCTGTATCCAAGAAATATCATGTTGACTGATCGTGGGACTGTCTTTATTGATTTCGGGGATATATGTTTTGATAACTCTGATATCCCGGAGTTGGTGACCAAATCATTCCCAGGCATGTATATCTCACCCCTTCTACGGTGGCATAAGGCGCAAGACAGAACCTATGGATTTGAGAACTAGATTGACTGGGACTGGCAGCACTGGCTTGAAGCAGAATTTGGGCATACGGCAGCAACAATCAAGCCAGAGATGCAAGAGAGATTCCTTCCGTCTTTCCTACTCAATCGTTCTAATAGCCCTCCGCCTCTGTTTTGATGTACTGTCTATGTATAAAATACTTCTTCGTTTCTTGATCACGCTTCAAAGCATAGACGGACTTGGATTCGGGGGTGGACGATTCTATCAATGAAAGATGTGTTCTATGATGGTAAAGAGAAGCGCCTTGTTTTGCTCTTGTCACTCATTTATCGCATTTCGTGCTATTACTTTTTGATAGACCTACGTATATATACTCAGTCATTAAGGATGTGTCAACATATCGATTCTGGGTCTCTTATTAAGTTGTAATAGCTTCTTCGTTCTCCATAGATCAGTGTATGTTGCTAGGGACCTGATGGGTGACTAGACCAGCAGAATGCAGTAACAAAACAACTTTTGCAAAACGAAGTGCAACCAAACTACTCTTCCTCCTCAATCTCCCCCTCCTCGCTTCCAGAATGAATAGCCTTGTCATCCACCTTCTTAGCATCCTCAACAGGGCCAGGTGCAGGTGCAGGTGCAGCACTACCAGCAGTACTGGCAGGAGTTCGCTCCCTCCGGTCCCTATCCCTACGTGGCCCCCGACTACGTTCACGTTCACGACTAGGATCCCGCCGATAACGCTTCGCAGACCGACTTGCCATACTCTCTGAGTCGCTGTCACGTCTGCGCCGCCGCTCGTTCGTGCTGGGCGTGTCACCACCGTAGTCGAGTTCGTCACGGCTGCCGCGCGGGTCCCCGCGGGTGCGGTAGAGTCGCTCACGCTCTTCTTCACGGTCACGACGTTCGCGCTCGTAGTGGCTAACGGGCCGGGCGCTGCGTTCGCGGTCCCAGTCGCGTTCACGATCGCGATCGCGTTCTTCACGGTCACGTCCGCGATCGCGGTCCCGTTCGCGGTAGCGCTCCCTGTCACGATCTCGTTCGCGATCGCGATCTTCACGTTTGTCACGGCTGGGTGAGAAGCCGCTGACTTTGCGGTAGGAGCGTTCACGGTCTGCTTGCGCTTTGCGGCGGTCTGCTTCGTAGGCGTCTGGTTCGGGGGTGCGACTGACGCGGCTGGGGGCGCCGCGTCTTTCGCCACGGTATCGGTGGTCGCGGTCGTAGTCTCGACGGCTGCCGCGTTCACGGTCTCGAGAGCGGTCACGGTCCACATCCTCTTCCTTTTCTTTCAGGCGACGAATGACCTTGTCAAATGCGGCTTGGCGGAGTTCATCGCTTTCAATTTCCTTGTATTCTTCGAGTCTTTCAACCCTAGGTTGGACTTGGTCCCAGGCATCAGTGGCCCGGACAGGAGGATCCAGGTGCTTGATCCGGGACCGCAGTGCGTCGACGGCCCGCCGTTGGTGGCGGTCTGCAGCATGCTTTTCTTCCTCGTTTCGCCGGAGAGCCTTCTCTTGGACACGCTGGAAGATGAGTTGCAGGATTTCCACATCAATGTTTGCAGTCCGGCGGTCGGAAAGCATGATGGGGTTGAATTCTTCGAAGGGGGTTTTGGGTGTGACTTCGAAGCATTTATCCTGAAGTAGTGAGTCAGATAAAGTATCATACGAGCTGGGACAGGTTTACTCACATCAAGCACATCCAACACATCGTTCCGTGGGCCACGCAGCGAACGCTCCTCTTCCTCCAAGACATCCCAGAAGAGGTCCAATGGAGAAGACCCCGCATTACCGAGCATTCCTAGGTATCGAGGATCTTCTTGGATCAAGGGACGGACATTCATCCATTTGCTACCGGCCTTGATCTTGCCCTGAGACCGCAGCTCCTTCAACAGCTCAATGTACTGTTCACGGGCATGGCGCTCCTTCCTTTGCTTGACAGCCTTGTTCTGCTGACGCGCATCATTGAATGCTCGTTCGAGAGCCTTAATATGGTTCTCAAAAGCCGTCAACATGTCAGACTTGCTTAGGGACTTGAACTTAGCATCACTTTGGACTGTCTCGTTGGACTGGATAATGGACTGAGCCTCAGACCAGCGAGTGTAGGGCTCCAGATCCAGAGACTTCATGATATTCACCAGCTCATCCATGGCGGACTTTCGCTTAACGGCTTCCTGTTCAACGTGCTCCTTTCTAAGCTCGGTAACGTACTCCTCAAAGAGCTGTCGCCTCTCATTATCATCGTTCGTAGACCGGAAAATAGTCTCACCCTCAATGATTGGCCGGATGGTCCTCCAACGACTGTAGTATTTGATTTCAGGATGCCGTTTCAGCATGGTATTGAAATCTGCTCTAAGCTTAGCGAATCTTTCTTTCGCCCGATCCTTTTCCTGCATGCGAACCTCGACCGCGTATTTCTCAAAGGCTGTTTTGCGGTCTCTAGGGTCTTTGAGGGCACGGTACTGCGGATCTTTGATGATAGCGCGCATTGTCTGTTCCCAGGACCACTCGGGCAGGACATTATGACGTCTGAGCATTTTCATGAACGCTCCCTCCGCTTCATCGAACGAGTTGTATTCCGGTTCCACCTGCGCGCCCAACACGGGGGCAACTGCTGCCATTCCATTCGTATCTGGCGCGCCGTAGCCGCCCCGTCGGTCACCGAATCCTCGACCATAATCGTCGCGCTCTCGCTGCTGTGGATAAGAAGGGAATGAATTGGCGCCACCTGCAACAAACGTAGGGCCCCTACAGTCTTCCTGTTAGCATCACCGTTATCTCCCCTGTAGTCAGACCGAAACTTACGCTGGGGGTGGAGGCTGGGACACTTGAGCCTGCGCAAGAGCTTCTTTGTAAACGTCCGGCATATCCCAAGTGCTTTGCTTGGTTTCCGAGTGGTACCAGTATTTTCGTCCGTTGTCAAGAGTCTGTTCTTTCCATGGTTGATTCGCCAGCGCGCGCTATAAACAAAGCAAGGATTATCAGTAATGCGCACGGAATACAGAAGACAAACTAGCAAATGTACAAACCTCAACGGGAGTCATCAGCTCAACAGGCTTCTGCCACTGCGTCGCTTGCGTCTGGACATTGTAGTAATAAACTCGCCCATCGGCCTTGTTGCGAGCCTCCTGCCACAGAGAGGCCGGCCCCGATGGGGCATTCATCGGATTCATGATGCGCTGTGGCGATTGAATTCCGGCAGGTCGAACAGCAGCAAAAGTGAAGCTTGAAGCTGTTCGGAGAACCGATGCTCTGCCAAGATTGTTTGCAATGTTTGCATATGACAACCGCCGCGGAACTGTATCAACAACCAACAACTAAGGAATACTAGACCCTCATTCTTCCTCTCAAATAACAGCTGATAACTAGAACTCAGTATCCTCTGGATTACCAACACATCGACTCTCCTTCTTTGCGCATTTATGTTGTAGGCACATTGCGCTCTTATCGCAATGCCGGGCCTCGAGGTTCCAGGGGAATTCCTACGACATGCCGTTTTAGACACGGTTGTGCCTAATGCTGATGATATCGATCTGGAAGCTGCGTTGACGTCTGCCCTGGAGGCCGGCGCAGATGATGTGACAGATGTCCTATCATACATCCCCCAGCGCTCTGTTGTGTTCTTTGGTACGTACCAAGTTGAAGCCCCCAGACCGAACTCCGTCTCTTACTCATCTGCAGTAATTTAGATGAATTCTGCAACGCTCGCGTCGTCCTGAGATTGTTCAATTGCTCGGAAGAAAGTCTAAAACAACACTTGCAACATCTCGAAGTCCGGCTCGATACGTTTGCGATTGATCCTGCCGAATCCGTTGCGGAGAACCCGACACCGACAAGAGACTTGATCTTCTCGGGGGCCGTGAGCGGGAAGGACGAAGACCCTTTGGTGGTTTATAATGAGTTTGAGGGAGATAACGGGCGTGGAAATCACGTATATGTGATTTGGAATGTTCCAGCGTTTCTCAGTAAGGATAGATATCCTAAGGTTGAGTACGTGACTTCCATGCTAATGGTATACTAGAGCGTCCTCGCATTCGCATCCAACATCCATCCCTCCTTTTCATCGCATCCGCTAGTCTGAATCCGACGGAGGGTCGACAACGTGAATCCCGGGATGATGACTATCTCCCGTCTCTGGTTCCTGCGTCGACCAATATCCTGCAGCCCTTGTCGATGGATAAGACCTTCCGCCGTACAGACCCATTCCTTCCTGCGTCGAGGCTCTTACGAGTCGTGCCGGCAACTTACAGCGAGGACCCGATTTATAATGTTCAACAACAATCTGGGCACCCGATTCGCGTTGTACCCGCGACTGGTGCAAGAATACGTTACTCGCGACTAAATTCATACTCTGGTCGCCCCACTACAGTTGCAAGTCTCGATTTCGAAGTGACTCCATTCATAAACTGCGATGTCACGTTCGACAAGGCGGAGTTGAGCCTTTCTGATGGGACGATTGAAACCCTGTCCGATGTCCCGGGACTCAAACCACCTATAACATGTCGTCCGAGAGATGATATTACCCTGGTGTACAAACTGACTCCCGAATACGGACCTGATCCTAATCCCTCGACGACTGTAATGGTCAGCACCTTAGACATCTCCCTAGAAGCAGTAATCAACCTGGCGGAAAATTGTCAACCACGGATAGCCATGCGATGGAGAACAAACGTGGATTTCTCCATGGCGCTTAACCCAACGTTCGGTGGGCCCAGTCAAGCCTTGCAGCGAAGCAATCGCCCAACAAGTCTCCCCATGACGCCAAACCAAAACAGTGGGAATCCTCCTTCCAACCGGAGCTCTTTCAGAGAACGTGCCTACTCCGTGACAGACGTGGGGGTGACCATTTCGTTCTCTGGTCCTGTTAGCGTGGAAGTTGGCAAGCCATTTTCTTGGGGAGTCTTTGTTGTCAACCGATCGACCGTGCCTCGTAAATTTGCTATGGTGGCCATTCCACGAAGGAAGCGGACAGATCCACGGGGACATGTTGCTCGACCATCGTCTTCGTCCATGTCGAATCGCAGCAAGGAGAACCAGGTGGCGGAAGCAGTAACGGATGATAACATTGTCCATGCGATGCAGAAAAGCGCATCTGGGCAGGAAGCTGAATTGGTTTGTTTAAGCACCGACGTCCGAGTTGGGTAAGTTTTCCGCCTCTTCCTTGTCGCTGTTGCGCATCAGTCTAACTAATTGATTCAAGTCCACTTTTGCCCGGAACATGCCATTCAACCGAATTGAAATTGCTTCCATTGTCTGTGGGATCACTCCACTTGGAGGCTGTGCGTCTGGTCGACGTCAACACAAACGAGACGACTGATATCAGAGACCTTCCGGACATTATAGCCACTAATCGGAAGGGGTCTTCATAGGGTTACTCTTGTTAACGGACTTGTCAATGTATAGCCTGCATGAGTCCATGATATCCAAGGAATAGTACATAATAGAGATTATCTTCGATGATTTCAGTGCATCTAGGTCCTAGCTATTTACGTATACAGCATTCACCGGTGTTAGCAGCTCACTGCGTATCTATAGGCTGTGATGTTTCTCTGCGCAGTGCGTGTAGCCATGAATAGCATTGAAGAATGTAAGCAGCCCGAGCAACGAATCAATCGATCTACTAATCCTCCTTGCCGTCGCCATCCTGACCAATGTCCATCTCGCCCACATCCTGGAATCCAATGCCAGTTGCCTCGCTGACCGTTGACTTCCGGGTCAACGTGGAAGACAGCGTGGCGAGATGAGAAGCTTTCTCGAGGATTCTATCGAGCAAGAGAACAATCTTCTTCTTGTCGACGTGCCAACCCAGAGTGAACCACGAGACCTAGCCATGTTAACATTAGCAAGTATACTAGGCCCATTGCAGCAAAAGCGTCATTCTACTCGCGATTCATGATCAATACAGAAAAATTTCCAGTCCTCTCCATTCGTCCAGATGCCGTACACAGACGCATCCGGCTCACCAGCCTTCCTCCTAGCATCGTAGATAAGTACTAATAGATGACATCTGTCAGTATCCAGCCAAGAAGTGTCATTGGGATCTTTTAGTACTTGTACTTACCCATATACCCAATCAACTGGGGTTCCGCGAAGTATGCGGAATACCTCTCCGTTTCGACCACGACGAGATTTGTCTCTGCATTCTGTGGGCTGCCGTACCATATAGAGTAGTCTGTCTTTCCGGTCCATATGACTGGACTGTCTCCATGCCTGTCTCTATCCTTACCTGGCATACTCACGTGCGTCTCGCGTTGAAAGCGGAGCGAGCTGGGGCCCTTTTGGGTGTCCTGTGTACTGATTGGGGATTTCCCGAGAGTTTCTGGCTTCTTGTAGTTATCATGGTTGTTGGCTAGTGTCAAAAGGATAACGAGGTCAATTTGAGTGCACAAAGAGGGCTCGTTTGTGGCAAGGTGGTAGGCTTGGAGGACGCGCTCTGGATATTGTCAACATTTCTCTCCAAGATGGAATTCAATGCAATATTCACTTACCAGCAACCTTGGACTCAGCTTGATAAGGCTCGTGAAGTCCCTGGAACAAAGGATACGCATCGAACTCTTCTTCGACAAGACGAAGCTTGAAGAGCTTCAGAATTTCGCTCAACGATTTGCTGCTGATTGGGACTTCTGGGAGTTCTCCATAAAGAATTTCTCCTGATGTTTCTATCATTTTATTCCATAGCGGTGCGATTTCGGGGTGATATATGCTTGGGTCGGGTCGGGATAGCAGTTCTTGTAGGCGGTTGTTGAGACGGGTGAGTCTGGTAACAGAGCTATTGGTGCTCATACTGTCGAGTGCGATGTGAAAAGTCATTTTTAGGTGAATTAGGTGAAGGGGGGGGAGAAGAAGAAAAAGGTAAAAGAGTTGCTTCACGAGGGGAAGATGAAGAGCTCAGATGTCCTGTTTCCATAGATATGTGCTACAGAGAACTGCCTCAGTAAACAAAAGAGGAATAGAATGAAAATAGAATAAGGTAAAAAATTAAATTGATTTGCGCTCTCATAAAATTATCTTTCTTTCATCTCTTTTCTTCCGCACTAGACAAATGCATCACTTAACTTCCAACAGACTCCCAGCAAAGCACAAAGCATCTATCCCTCCAACTTGGCTTCCTGGTCCTTAGGCTCGTCCGTGTTCTTCTCCTCCTTGGCCTTGTGCTTCTCCTTAGCCTCGTCCTCGGTGCTCTTGCTCTCCTTTGTTTCATTCTTTAAGCCGTAGCTATTGAAATGTTAGATCAAATAACAGTCAACGTAGGGCTACTAACTAGTGGACCGCGTAGACTTCGGGGATGGGGGAAGCCAGCCAGGCTTTATAGATGCAATGACCGATGTATGCCATGACGATAGACCACATTCCGAAAAAACTTCCAGCCGTCAACTGTGGGCAAGGTGATGTTGTGAAAGGTCTCGAGGGCCGGATCCTTTGCCCCTCTCGGAAACCTCAAGCTGCTGGGCCCTTTTCCATCGGATACAACAGCCACATTCAAGAGAACAATGCGAGCGCCCGGTTTCTCCCAATGCCAGTTGTTGACCAACATAGCCTGGACGAGGCTTGCGACAGAATCCACAATCACGACCACAGCATCCCAGACGAAGCTGGTGTGCTTCGAAACTCTAGTGTCCAGGACCCATCAACCCATTTTGACTGGAGATCAGCAAATCTTTGTCCGTTCTTTCTCAACTGAGGGTTGATCTGTTTGAGCTGCTCGGTGACTATCCTCGATGAATCCTTTATCTCTGGGTTCAGACTCCCATCTCGTTCCTTCTGGTTTTCCCATGAATCTTTTTCATCGAGAAGGCGGAGCTCGTGCTGAATAATTTCATCCAGCTCCCCTTTGTTTTCAACACATGACTTGATCAGGTTCATTTGCTTTTTCTGTTCGTCTTCAGGGGTGCATGCTTTGTTGATAGTCCGTAACGATTTTACCAATCTTCTGAATCCGCAATATTCAAGAAAGCGCTCAATTGCAAATAAGGGGTCGATCGACCATCTCTTCAGATATATGAGAATTAACACTGCAACGATTGGCGGCAATACCTCGTCTGGTTCCCATATTACTGAGGATGTGTTCAACAAGTAGAACAACGGTTTGAACAGAATTAAAGAGAGTTATGCCATATGCCAGTCGTCATAATTGCTCGTACACCGTCCATGGCATCATTCAGGGCTGATTTAATGTCGAGTTCGATGTTATTGATACTATGGTCTAATTAAATACACGATCCAAACTCTCGTGGACTAATTAGTAAGATATAAACTGGATAAAGCACTGGTAGCAGCGGAGAGACAGCCCTTTATTAAATAATGTATTAATTCTGTAGTTTTGTATAGTATTGAGAAAATTTTCACGGGAAATCTTCCAGAACGTGACTTGAGATGTTGGCCAGGACGCGCTCTACTCATGCAATCATTTCATAGCTTAGTCGGGAATAGTCATTACTCTGTGTCTTTTTCTCCTTTCGTCTGAAATTGTATGAGGATTTTTGTTATTCCGCTTCAGCAATTCGCCCCTAGCTTGGTCATTGGAGCATTCGATTAGCATAGCAGGAGAAGGCCCTGTGCGATCTGCAAGATTGGGGTCTGCGCCAGCAGAAAGAAGTTGCTTAACCATCTTGTCATTGTTTAGTATCACAACATCAAGCAAAGGGGTCTGGCCATTAGTCATGTCCGTGAGGTTCACATCAACATGTTGATCTGTGAGCAACAACCCAACCAGGTCTTCGCGATTGGCGCTCACTGCATGGTGCAAAAGTGTTTGACCATTGAAGATTGCATTGGGATCTACATCAATGCGGTTGAGGAATAGTTCCAACATCCGTGGGTCACGTTTGATCACTGCACTGTGCATGGGCGTCTGAAAATTAGGTCGTGTAGAGGCACCTCGGGCGAGGAGGGACCGAACGATGTTGGTGTATCCCCTTTGTGCTGCTTTTTCTAGGATAGTCCGGTCTTCAAAATGATAGAGCACATTAGGGTCGGTCCAAGGGTCTGCGAGTAGTACGTCAACGACCGCATCGTTGCCCCTCTCCGCAGCTCCCGCGAGCGGGGGATTGCGCTTAAAACGCGCTACTGATGGGTTGACACCGTCACGCGAGATTAATTTCTTCACTATCTCAGCTCTCCCATCTTCAGAGGCATTATTTAGTTCCCCCAACAGCGTCCTTTCGGACTACGTGTCCTCGTCAAGCATCAGGGTGACAAATTCTAGACTCTTGTTGTCTCTCACTACAGCCCAGTATAGAAGTCCCTCGTGAGCGCTTGACCCCGCTCTATAGGCTTTTTGGGCGGTTTCAATGAGGCCATTTCCCACCGCATGATATAGTGCATCGCCCTCCTTCGCGTCAAGTCTATACAGAAACGGATTGACGATGCTGTAAAGGTGGCGGTTTGCTCGAGCAAAAGAGTTGATGGATGTATATTTGTCGTGATATGGTGATTCATCGAGATGGTATGTAATTTGGAGGATAGTTTCGGTCGGGAGATCTAGCAGTGGCATCTTTGACCGGTCACCGCAATGCCTAGGTGAGGGATCACTTATCGTGCTGGAATTCGATAGCCTGTAGGAGTAACAAAGACATAGGGTTGAGCATCAGCTGATATCATGTGATCTGTGCACTGTGGTTGGCTGCTTTGACGCCCGCTTATCGCGCGATCGGAATCCCCATGTGTCCTCCAGAGGGAGACTCGGATATCGCTGTGATCTTCGATGGAAACTCCACACTTGACATTCTGACGTTTGTATATCGTGTGCCATTTATTTTTACGCTGGACTTTGAGGACGCCCAGCGCTTACTTGTTGTGACCGGCTATTATTCTCTCGGTTCTCGCTACTTCCTTTCCCTTTACCCTATTCTTTGCGTCATACTGAGGCCTGGTCCACCGATTCTGCCTTGCCTCCATTCTTTTGGCTTTGGAATCAGGTGTCGTTCTCCTGCTCTTCCTTTCTTTTATTTATTGCCTCTTTCCTTCGTTCTTTCAACATGCTCTCATTGGCGCGGCGCCGGTTTCTGGATGGACTAGACAGGAGGTATATTTATGGTCGTGTGGTATGTATATGTTTCTCTACACTATCGCGGTTTAGAACGACTCGGAATTGTCTGGTTCCATCAACTCTTCTACTTCCTTCCACAGAACACCAGAAGCCAATATACTGACTATGTACTCCCATCTTCTAACCTCCAGCCCTTACTTCACGCTATAATTTTTCTGATTGAGATGGTGATCGCCGCGCGGCTGGCGGCCAAGTTCAACTCCTACTATGCGGAGAGGCCGGGTAAGATGACCGCTTGACTATAACACTTGGACACTCAGCTAATATGATTACTCATTCCAGTGTTGACTACTATGGTCACCAACGCTGTAAGATTTCTTGCCGTTGAAACCGAACGAGTCCGTCAATTAACACTGAATGACATTCTTAGGTGCTTGGTGGAGTCGCAGATACCGTTGCACAGTTGATCTCGGGCTACAGATCCCAAGTACCAACCAGAGAAGAAACAGACAGCGATCTGATTTCGATCGAGATTCATGAGCTCGACAAGAGAAAACCACCTGCTGTGGGAGAGTTGGACTTTGCGAGCAACCGACCACCACCATTTGACTTCGAGCGGCTTACCCGCTTCATGTCCTATGGTTTCTTCATGGCACCCATCCAGTTCCAGTGGTTTGGGCTTCTGTCGCGAACATTTCCACTCACAAAGAAGAACCCGACTATACCGGCTCTGAAACGGGTCGCGGCGGACCAGTTTTTATTTGCGCCGTTTGGTACGAACCCATTGCGCATGTGAGCCTTGCTATACTAGGCATTGCTAACTCCATCGCGCTAGGTCTGGTGTGCTTCTTCTCTTTTATGACCATTACAGAAGGTGGTGGTCGACGGGCCCTGACTCGCAAATTCCAGGACGTATACATCCCGACCCTCAAGGCCAACTTTCTCATCTGGCCTGCAGTTCAGGTTCTGAACTTCCGGGTCGTACCTATTCAGTTCCAAATCGTAAGCTGATTTGCGATATACGGCATTGTGTGCACAGATCACTGACCCCTCGCAGCCTTTTGTATCCGTGATTGGTATTGCCTGGACCGCATACCTTTCTTTGACCAACTCTGCCGAAGAGGAGTAGAGAACTCCTGACTCGACATTCAATAAATGTTAACGACATTCGCAGCAAACTTATCAATTAACGCTTGCATCTATCCCTATCTTTATATCTTTCGTTTTTTCGTGTTTCTACAAGTCTTCCATTTTTATCGGCGCACAGGCGTTATATATGTTTCTGGTGTGTTTGGTTTGCTATAGTGTATCAAAAGGCTTCCTCTCTATTTTCTCTTATTTTATGTCGGTCATTTTTAGGATCGAATTCATAAATGGACCTCTCATTCGGAGTTGGACAAGTACTCGAAAAACCTGGAGTTCAATGGGATATTCTAGCCATGTATTATTACTCGGCTATAGGGCAAAATGGAATACCACTATTTCAATAATTGGGTCGGTAGCTCAGTGGTAGAGCATCAGATTGCAATGTGCCAATAGGTAGCCAATTATCTGGTGGTCGCGAGTTCGATCCTCGCCCGGCCCTTTTTTTTTTTTCTGTTTTTCTTTTTTTTTGCCCTCCCACGTTCCGGAACCTTTCTTTTTATACAAGAAAACCATACGAAAATCCCACGGCTGTTGATAATTCCCTTCCACCATGTGTTTATTTTATTCTCCCGAGGCTCGAGAACAGCCCCGGACTGTTCCGTCATGGATGGTAAAGGACACTGATGTCAGTCCCGCATAAGCCCGATAGGCCTCCCACGCATTACAGAGCAGTGCCTAATACAGTATTATTGTTGTCCGCATTCGACTCTCTCACCGGAAGCCCCACCGATGCTACAGAGGACCCCGCCGCTGAACCGACGTTGTTTCTATCAGGTTCACCGCGAGCACTCTCCTGGGTATTAATTCCTGTCTGATCCCTCTTCTTTTCTTTCTCCTACATTTATCCCATTCAAAAGGTATATACACGCATTTCTGTTTCCACTTAACCCAGTACTGACAACCATAGTTCATCATGTCTCTCAGCAACAAGGTCGCCATCACAGACGTTGACCTCAAGGACAAGCGCGTCCTCATCCGGGTACGTTTTCCACTGGAAATAACATCCAAGGACGAATCAATGCTAACAATCGATGCTAGGTCGACTTCAACGTCCCCCTCGACGCCAACAAGAACATCACAAACAACCAGCGTATCGTCGGTGCCCTCCCCACCATCAAGTACGCCGTCGAGAATGGCGCCAAGGCCGTCATCCTCATGTCCCACCTCGGCCGTCCCGACGGCAAGGTCAACCCCAAGTACAGTCTGAAGCCCGTTGTCTCTGAGCTCGAGAAGCTCCTGGGCCGCAGCGTTGTCTTCGCTGAGGACTCTGTTGGCAAGGAGACCGAGGAGACCGTCAACAAGGCCTCTGGTGGTCAGATCGTTCTGCTTGAGAACCTCCGTTTCCACGCTGAGGAGGAGGGTAGCTCCAAGGATGACCAGGGCAACAAGATCAAGGCCGACAAGGAGAAGGTCGCTGAGTTCCGTAAGGGATTGACTGCTCTCGGTGACGTTTACATCAGTAAGATTCCATTCGAGACTGGTCTAGTCTAGCGGATTGCTAATGGTTGCAGACGACGCTTTCGGTACCGCTCACCGTGCCCACAGCTCCATGGTCGGTGTCGACCTCCCCCAGAAGGCCTCTGGTTTCCTGGTCAAGAAGGAGCTTGACTACTTCGCTACCGCTCTGGAGAAGCCTCAGCGCCCCTTCCTTGCTATCCTTGGTGGCGCCAAGGTCTCTGACAAGATTCAGCTGATCGACAACCTGCTCCCCAAGGTCAACAGCCTCATCATCACCGGTGCCATGGCTTTCACCTTCAAGAAGACCCTTGAGGGCGTCAAGATCGGAAACTCCCTCTTCGACGAGGCCGGCAGCAAGATCGTCGGCGAGATCACCGAGAAGGCCAAGAAGCACAACGTCGAGATCGTCCTCCCCGTCGACTACGTCACGGCTGACAAGTTCGCCGCCGACGCTAAGACCGGCTATGCCACTGACGCCGACGGTATCCCCGACGGCTACATGGGTCTCGACGTTGGCGAGAAGAGTGTCGAGCTGTACAAGAAGACCATTGCCGCTGCTAAGACCATCCTGTGGAACGGTCCCCCCGGTGTCTTCGAGTTGGAGCCTTTCGCCAACGCTACCAAGAAGACTCTCGACGCTGCTGTCGCTGCTGCTCAGGCCGGCACCATCGTCATCATCGGTGGTGGTGACACTGCTACCGTCGCTGCCAAGTACGGTGCCGAGGAGAAGCTGAGCCACGTCTCCACCGGTGGCGGTGCTTCGCTGGAGCTCTTGGAAGGCAAGGACCTGCCTGGCGTTGCTGCCCTGTCGAGTAAGTAAATGAGTACCCTGTAAGAAGGGGTTTTGGAAATCTATCTGGCTATTTAACCAGTCCTGTTTTGGCATAACTTATATACCCCGAAATAGGGGATGATGGTTCATGAATGTAATGTACAAGAAAATTCAGATTAATTAAACGAAACTATAAAAACATTTGAAATGGGATTCTAATACAAGGTGATATTAGAAGCGGGCCCCAAGCTCTGAGCTTGATACGATATCAACCTTATCCTATAGACCAGCATATAACGAGTAATCAGCACATACATGTACTTGATGACGGTTCATTCATTAACAATCAATAATGATTCGTAGCATATAGTAAAGTACCGCACCAGCCACAGCCTTGCTCTACGACAGTAGCCGTATCGCCAGCAGACAAACAGTTTCTGCAGGGCACAACACACCCAATACAGCCTTTTCTATCTGTATGTAGATCAATCCCCTCACTCAATATTCAGCACGGCACGTCTAGCATCGCTGCAACCCGGCGGCACCCGTATCGACTGTCATTCCTTTCTTATTCCATCTCTCGATCCAATTAACTCGACGCCTCGACCTTCTTCAGCTCTTCCCTGTAAATGATAATCCATCAGCCTTATCCTTCAAACCGCATATACTATATGTCCCTTGTGGGCAGGTGGGTAGGTAGGTAGGTAGGTAGGTAGCGGGGAAACGCACTGTAGTTGTTTCGAGAAATCCTCGGCGGCATCATCGTCATCCCAGCTCTCCTCCCACAAATGCACGTTGTCATTTGCTGCTTGGGAGTTTTTTTCGGCTTCTTCTTGGTCCCAGTCTGTGTTGGAAGAATAATGTGTTAGCGTTTGAGTTCTTGATTAGCTAGCTAGGAGCTGGGTTGGATGCTGATGCTGGCGGCAGCTGAAAGGAGGGCGCCCTTCGCGAAGAGACGGAGGGTATTGTCTACCTTCAACAGGGAAATCCTCAAACTCGTCGTCTTCCTCCAGAACGGGAGGGTTCTGTTGCTGCGGTTGCTGCGAGGGTTCGGGCTTGTCCTGTGTTGTGTTCGACATGGTGGGGTCGATGTGGAGGGTGAAAGAATAGATGAGAGAAAGGTTCAGAAAAGAATTAATAGAATGGTATCTAATTAAGACGTGAAAGAGGTGGAATGCAAGAGCAGGTGTTTGTATGAGGACTGAGATGGTCGTCGGAGGATTGATTGGCGATGATGACAGGATGGACTTGGCGCCACTGTCGCTAATCTCCAACTAGAGAGTCCAGGCACAACTACGCCTCTAATAGAATACCATGCATACAATAAAACAAGAAAATGCTAATATACGCTGAGAATTAACAGCCAGTCTGACTGCATCTCACTCTTTTGCTCTCCGACCGGCGAGAACCTCTGCTCGCATCGATTACTACATTCTGTCGACATCGCCTCAATCCCTCTCGCTCTCTCTCTCTCTCTCTCGTCCTCCCACGCCTCGTTGCCTCGCCTCGCCTCACCTCTCCACTGCTCAGCTCTCGTCGTTCTCGTCAGCAGTTTTATGCTACCATCGCCCCGCCTCTCCTTGCGCCGTGTCTGATGGAAGTGCCCGCATTCTTCCCAATCCGTCGTCCATTTTCTTTCTTCGGAGTCCGGAAGTGTCCGGCTCGCGGTTCTGACATGCGAGAGCCATAGTTGGATCTTCGACTTCGATCATTGTCATTTCGCATTCCGAACATAAACTCTTTTTTATTTTATTTTTTATTGTTTTAAATCTAGATTTCTCGCGTTCTTTATTATCTTTTTTTATATATCTTATCGCGGTCAAGATGTTCAAGGTTGGATCGTGGTTTTATGGCAAAAAGCCCGCGGCTCAGGTGCAGTCGCTGGACTCGTTGGTTGAATTGAGGGACCGTGAGTATTTTCCGGAGATGATAATGGATTTGTGTGTGTGACTGAGAATGCTGGCTGACTGTTATGTGAACAGTCGAGGATGCGCTGCAGGGTATGACTTGCTCTAGAACTATGAACCCGGTCGTGTGCGACATACTAATCGGTGTCCCCAACAGCTGCGACCTTGATCATGAACGACGATGTCGATGGTGCCGAAGATGGTCTTTCCGAGGGGACTTCGTCTTTTCATAATGTGGGTTGTCATTGCTTGGAAGAGACGCTCAAGACAAAATGGTCGATGCGCTTACACTCTTCGCGGATAGCTCGGAAAAGGTGTAGTCGCATTTATTCGGGCGACATTAGGTTTTGAACAGGAGATTATGCGGCAAGGTTTGTTGATATCGATTGCAAGTTTTCTTGAGGCTGTCTCTGACAGATAATGTCTTGCAGCATCCGAGCGACTCGTCGAAGCCGAAACTAGCGCATCCAACGACCAACATCGAGCTCAGCACAATGCGCACGCCCCGAATAGCTATCACTCGCAGATCTATAGCCCCGGGACAGAATTCGCGCTTTGTCAGGCGATGGCCCAGCTGATGAGTGCTGTTGTTGGTGTCTTGAATGAGAGTCTCACGGAGAGTGTCAAGGGTTTCTATAAGCTGAGAAAGGCGTATCTGACCCTCGATGCGATTCTGAAGATGGAAGAGAAGTTTATGCAGGAAAGACAATCCGGGAAGGCATCAGCATCAACCAGGTCGAGCGAGTCATTGAACAGAGCTCGTGGAATAGGAAAGGCACACACAGATCCTACTTTGTCACATTCGTCGGATGATGCGTTATCGCGTAGACTCGACGATCTTGACGTTTCCCACGATTCGGGTGCTTCAACCCCGTCCGCAGGTGGTGCATCGACGAACATGCTCAACATCGATCCCGATTCCGATCTTTTCAGGAACCAGATTGACGTTTTTATACACTCCGGGGCCAATTTCTGTTTCGGTATTCTTCTGCTGTTGATTTCGATGGTCCCGCCGGCATTCAGCAAACTGCTCGGCATCATCGGGTTCTACGGGGATAAACAACGAGGATTGCGGATGCTGTGGCAGGCGAGCAAGTTCCACAACTTGATCGGTGCCATTGCCGCCTTTGCAGTGCTGGGTTACTACAACGGGTTCGTTCGTTATTGCGATATCATGCCAGATGCCATACCAGGAGAAGACGGCGACGTAGAGGGATACCCGCAAGAACGACTCGAGGGTTTGCTTGCAGACATGCGGAAACGATTCCCGAACAGCCAGCTTTGGCTTCTTGAGGAGTCTCGGATGGAGGGTGCTAATAAGAATCTTGAAAGGGCACTAGAGCTTTTGTGTGGGGAGAACAAGAGTCCCCTGAAGCAGGTGGAGGCTCTGCGAGTTTTCGAGCGGAGTCTGAATGCGATGTATCTTCATAAGTATGAGCTATGTGCGCAGTCTTTTCTCGAGGTAAGTACACGCGGATCTTCTGTCTAGATTTTTTTTTTTTTTTTGCTGACTTTGTAGTGCTTCGATCTCAATTCCTGGTCTCGAAGTCTGTATTACTACATCGTCGGATCATCGCATCTCGCCCTCTACCGCCAAACCCTCCAAAAAGATCCCACCGAAGCAGCCAAGCACGCCGAGAAAGCCACGGAATACTTCCGTGCAGCACCCCCATTGGCCGGCAAGAAGCGCCTCATGGCCCGTCAATTACCTTTTGACGTGTTTGTTAGTCGTAAAGTTGCTAAATGGGAAGCCCGCGCCAAGGAATGGAAGGTCCCGCTCGTCGAAGCAGTTGGTGTGGACCCCATCGAAGAGATGATATTCTTCTGGAACGGACACAGCCGCATGACTCAAGAGCAGCTAGAGGCTTCCTTGATTAATTTGGCGTGGTCTGAAAGCGACGCCAACAAGACATGGGCACGGGAAGGTCTGGAAGAGAAAGCGATCCTGCAACTCCTCCGCGCTGCTGTCCTACGTTCACTCCGGAAACACGACGAGGCTAGGGAGCTCCTGCAAACGCACATCCTCAACCACGACAAGAACCAGTTCAAGGGCCACCTCAAAGACGACTGGATCTGCCCCGTTGCGCACTTTGAAATGGCCGCGAATCTGTGGATGGAGCGGCCAGCGTACATCGCCGTGCATGGTCATCCTAACTCTGACCCCGAGAAGACAGAAACCAAGTCCTCGGCCACGGACGAGAAGGTCGAGCGGCAAAAGGCCCTCGCGTGCAAGGAGTACCTGGAGAAAGCGGCAAGATGGGAGAGCTACGAACTTGATGCTCGGATCGGGCTCAAGGTTACGGCTGCTATGGAAGCTGTAAGGAAGTGGGAAAGCATGCATGATCCTGCTGTGGCTGCAGGGTCCTATTCATGATTCATGTTTGATGTATTTCTATGATTTTCTTTTGGTTTTATTTTGAGGGATGAAAAACACGAAGATTGGATTGGGTATTGGGTTATGTATAGTGACGATTTTTGTAGGATTAGTTTGCTTTTGGATTATTTGGATAGTTTTCTTGAAGTGTTCAAGATTGAATACACTGTCATACATTCCACGTGACTAGTTTGACATCTATCTCCGTCAGCATGCACCTTCCTCCTCTATCCATCCGAGATGCAATCCCTTCTTCTTCAATCCATCTTAACACAATCAATTGGTCAACCATGCCCAACGGAGATACACAAACTCCGTATATAAATCCAACAAGCTCGGACAATGGCTTACATCACCGAGTCTCGGACTTCGCAGTGTCAACGCCGACTGCCAAAGATAGACAAGCAGCTCCACGCTCAATCACAGGTGGATTTCGGCTAAGACCCGCGGCGAAAGCTTGTCCTGTCTCCGTTGTCGGAGTGCTTCGTTGCAGACACTTGAAGGATATGATAGCCATCAGGATTAGGATCTAGATGTGCTATTACTGTCTACCTGCATTGCTTCGTGAGTAATCTGTATCTGGTGACCTGAAAATCGACGCAGATAGCTACTCCTATCGGTGTAGGCGTCCAACGAAACACCGACTTAACGGCTATCTTCAGTATCCCTATGGAGTACGGAATAGGCCCGATAGACCCACCTTCGGCAAACGATGAAACTCGCTTCTGGACTGGTTGAAAGCTCGGTTTCGGACGTCCGATATTCTTACTATACTCGGGATTTTATGGAGCCGGGTAAAACGGCATTACCACTGGGGAAAGCGCCAAAGTAAGCGCGAGCTTGATACGATGAATGATAGTACTCGGGGTAGTGTCTGGGCTGGGTCTGAAATTTTTTTACGGCCTTTCGAGAATGACAGGAGGCTCCACTTATGCTCGGAGATGCAATATATACTACCAGTCCCCTACTTTTTTTTTCTGTCGAGCCCCGGTGACGTCTTGGTTACGACTCTTTTGACTATTTTGTTACCACGGCTAGCATCGTTCTTGATATGCTTTTTGATATCGCTATACAATAAAACGGCTATCGGTTGAATTGAGAAAGTTATCCGGAGACCCTATTTCCATTCGGAAAATTTACAGACAATGACAGAGCACGGTCGTGCCTCTCGATCATCCAGCGACGAGGACATTTCCTCGATTGACGATGAAAGACAACGTGCGATAAACGGCGATAGCAACAGCAATGCCAATGGAGGAAACCTGGAAAAGCAGACCACTGCGTCTAGCTTGTCCATGTTCGAGAGTCGCGCGCAATCGGTAGTTTCGAGGATCCGGAGTCGAGATCCTGGCCAGACAATACCGTTTAATCATCCGTTATCGCATACGAAGACTTCGACGGATGTGATTGTTGATTTTGATGGGCCTGATGATCCGTATCGGCCGTTGAATTGGCCGTTTCGTAAGAAGGCGATTACGACGGTGTTGTATGGATTGACTACTATGGGCGCAACTTGGGCAAGTTCGATGTATGGCTTCAATAAACTGAGCTTAAGATTTTGGAAACTGACCCTCTAGTTTCTCTACTGGCACTGCACAGGTTGATGCACAATACGGTGTTGGCTCAGAAGTCGGTTTACTGGGAACCTCATTGCTGCTGTTTGGTTTTGGTAAGCTAGCTATAAACTAAGCTGCGCAGGCATTGACTAACAGCCCAGGTATTGGTCCCCTTCTATGGGCACCGCTATCCGAAGTCTACGGCCGCAAACCAGCAGTTTTAATGCCCTACTTCATCGCCGCGATCTTCTCATTTGGCACAGCAACAGCCAAAGACATCCAAACGATCATGATCACTCGATTCTTCACTGGCTTCTTCGGTTCCGCACCAGTCACCAACACCGGCGGCGTCCTGGGCGACATCTGGACAGCCGAGCAACGCGGCGCCGCCATCGTCGGCTACGCCATGGCCGTCGTCGGAGGCCCAGTCATCGGCCCCATCGTCGGCGGCGCAGTCGTCCAAAGCTACCTAGGCTGGCGCTGGACCGAATACCTAACCGGCATCCTAATGATGTTCACCCTCACTCTGGACATCCTCATCCTCGACGAAACCTACCCCCCAGCCCTCCTAGTCTACAAAGCGCGCCGCCTCCGCTTCAACACGGGAAACTGGGCCCTGCACGCCCGCCATGAAGAATGGGACGTCACCTACAAAGAACTAACCAACAAATACCTAATCCGCCCTTTCCAACTTCTCGCCACCCCCATCTGCTTCCTCGTCGCCCTCTACGCCTCCTTCGTCTACGGCATCCTGTACCTATGCCTGGCCGCTTTTCCCATCGTTTTCCAAGAAGTCCGCGGGTGGAACCAAGTCGTCGGCGCGCTACCTTTCCTCGGCATATTGGTAGGCGTGCTCTTCGGCGCAGCCATCAACCTCACAAACCAGAAATTCTACATCGCCCGCTTCAAAGCAAACAACAACTTCCCCGTTCCCGAAGCCCGTCTTCCGCCCATGATGCTCGGCTCCGTCTTCTTCGCAGCGGGCCTCTTCATCTGGGCATGGACAGGCAACTCCGCGTCAATCCACTGGATCGCGCCTGTCATCGGGACTGTCCTCATGGGTTTCGGATTCTTCACTATCTTCCAAGCCGCGCTGAACTACCTCATCGATACGTTTCAGAAGTTCGCAGCGAGTGCGGTTGCAGCGAATACATTCGTGCGGAGTATGTTCGCCGGCTCGTTCCCGCTGTTCGCGCAGATTATGTTTCATAATATGGGGGTTGGGTGGGCTGGTTCGGTGCTGGGGTTTATTGCCGTGGCGCTGATTCCGATTCCGTTTTTGTTTTATATTTTTGGGAAGAGGATTCGGGCAAGGGGGAAGTGGTCTAGGGCGTCGGTTTATGGGCATGACTAACTGCCCCCCTCCCTCGAGTAATCGCTTGGTTGAAAATACTTAATTTGGAAATATGCCCTGGTACATATTATGGGTTGAAAAGTTATGCTTTCTGTTTACGACATACCCCGACTGTTAATGTTTTCTATTGTCTTGTGATACCATTGATATGCATATGCGTGGTTAGGGCTCTGCACATATTATGATGGATTTGCATTACCATGGCTGTATTTAAAAACTAATTCACATATTAAGAACTGTATAAAATGGAACGTTTACTTTCAATGCACTGAAAATGATTAATAGAAGGAAATCCTTGTAAATTGCTCATCTGCTCCCAACCAAAACATCGAAATACAATACATGCAATTACCCTCAACCCAAACATAAACTCAAATCTCCTTAAATCCTCGAAAATGAACTAATAAACCGGGGAATATCTAAGCCATACACATACTCTCTCCATCCGCATTCTCAAAATCGAAATCACGAAATAACCATCGTCTCATCCCCATCAACATCCTCCTCATCCAACACCCCAAACTCCCAATCCCCACGCACGATCCTACTAACCCGATCTAACTCACCCTGATACTCGCGTCGTAAATGGTCCAGCGTAACAATCACCCGTTTCTGCGGTTTCTGGTTCTGGCTCTGGCTCTGTGCATAACCCTGACCGTGACCCTGGACAGATGATGAAGACGGACGACTTGCGTTGGAACTTGCGCGGCGGACTGTAGGCGAGTTTGTATCGATGTCGTCCATGGAGACGTTACCATCGTCGCCTACTGCTTGCGTTTGTCTGCTGCGGGGTCTGTTGTCCGGGCTCGTGGACTGGGTGGAAGAGGGGTCTTCTCGCTCGACGAGGATGTAGGATTCGCTCTTGTCGACGCAGGCGAGGAGGTTGATTAGGGAGAGGAGTTCGTGGCGGATTTCTTGGCTCTCTGGGTCGTCCTCTTCGACCATGGACTTTTGGTCGTCGGCGTCCTTGGCCTTGGCGAGGGCTAGGTGGGAGGTGGGGTTGTCGCGTGCTTGTCGGAGGCGTTGGACGTTGCGGTATGCGATTTCGGCTGCGCCGCGGTAGTCGGCCCGTGCGATGCGGTATGCTTGGAGGATTCGTTGGAAATCGGGTGTCGAATCAGCCCACTTGTTGTTTTCAGTTTCCAGGAAGGAGTTGAAGGAGGATTGTTTCTTGGCGAGCGAGACAAGAGTTTCGTCCACGTAGGATGCGAGGTTGGGGACGAGGGAGGTGGGGAAGTGGAGGATTTGCTTGAGACCGGTGCTTCCTGGTCCCGATGCGGCGAGAACGGTTGTGATGAGGGAGTTGAGGGCGGATCGTTGCAATGCGACGTCCTTGTATCGGGTGAGTGCGGAGTATGCCTCGTCGAAGTGGCAGGTCTTTAGTGATGCGTGGAAGAGGCGGGACAAGAGATCGGTCCGTAGGACATTGTACTCTGGATCTTGCTCGCTGAGCTCGCTCTCTAGTGTTTGCAATGCAAGACTGGCAAAGTCTGCAACGTGCGAGAAGGACCGCACTTGCTCGAATATCGAGAGGACATGCTGGAAGTATTTGGGAAGGCCGTTGTGGAAACAGTCCACCGAGACAATATCGAGGAGAGTCGACGACATCTCGTGTAGGTTGCCCAGAGGCTTTCCACAAGCTTCGAAATGTCAGCTAAAACCCATCCAAAAGAACCGAGGATAACTTACAAAGAAGATAAGCAGCCTTCCGGAAATACAAAGCTGCAGTATCATATTCTGTCATGGCCACGTACAACCGTCCCTTAACGTAAGTCGCCCAAGACGTGGTTGCTTGGAACCGTAAAAAGTCCCACGCAAGATCAATGTTGTTCTTCGCAATAAGATCGCACTGGATGTAGACCAACGCATTCGGGTAAGCAACCTCGCCTTGACGCGTAACCCAAGACAAGACATCTCGGATTCCAAGCGTCAAGGTATAGCTCTGGGATCGCCCAATCGCTTGACGTGGCTTGATATCAGAAGCGAACAGATCCTCGAGGATGGTCGCCACTCTCTCGCCTTTGTTAGAGCCGGCGTCCTTCTTCAAGGAGAATGGCGAGCCCGATCCGTCAGTTGCATCGCTTGTCGGCTTGCCAGTGCTCTTCCGGACATTCGAGCTAAGCCAGTGCATCATCTCATACTCCCTGAGCAGAGGAATGATGGTAGAGAACAAATCAGCCGCATCAAAGGTCGATCCCTCCTCCTGGTCCACCTCGCCGTCTAAGAAAACAACAAGGACAAGCAAGTCAACGAGAAGTTGACGCGTTTGCAAAATCATCTCCTGGACACCGTTTACCGTAGCCCTGACTCCGAAGTGTGTGGCGAGAAGGTCCGAGTCCTTCCCAGGTCCAAGCGGGATTGTGTCGAGAATTGCGTAAAAGACCTCACTCGGCAAATTATCGATACTCAGATGCTCGTTCATAGCAGCGAACAAACCATCGAATATCTTATTGGAGACCCGCTCCCCAAAGTCGCAGCGTTCCCGGAAGACGTCCAGTCGGTCTGGAATGGACGAGGACGGCTCAGTAAAGATCTCCGCCTCAATAGCACCCCAACAGGCCGCTTCAAGTTCAGCTGGGAATCTCTTCCTGAAGCTCGAAGCAACCTTCATCAAGTGAGACGCTTGTTCGAACAGGTCACCCACTTCCGATCCCAAATCCCTGTGCGACCAGCGGTCCACGATCTTGGCTCCTTCCGTGCGGAGTTCAGCGCCAGTATTGTGCAGGAGTAGCTCTGTAGAACTGCATTCCCGTATCATAGCGCAACTGTCAGAAAGGAGCAGCCATGGGGTTTCGGAATAGGTGTCGTAGGCAATAGAGACAGGTTCGTATCTGCGCCTGTTAATGTCTTCAGCGGTCTGCCAGAACTGCCGCCATTTGGTGTCTGTATCTGTGGGATATCTCGTGAAGTCCATGTGGTCATCTGCATATTTCCGGAGAGACACTGTTCCCGCGACTGTGGTACAGAGTCTCTCTGGGAGAGACGCGCTCTTTTTGAAGCTGCTAGACGTTGATGCGAGCGGTCTGAGAGCCTCGTTATAGATGGCCAGAGCAGTCTCGAGCACCTCTGGAGTAAATCTGTTGGGCTGCAAGAGGTACTTCAACCACTTCTCGGTCGGATCAACGACATCGGAGGAGACCAACGCCGGTGGTGCTTCCTGTCTACGTGACTCCATCGCCGTCGAGACCCAGTTTGTATACCAATCCCTCTCCAAAGTGTCAAAGTTGAAGTGCAGGGTGTACAGCTGACACAAACTGTTATTCTTCCAGAGAACCCACAGCTCCATGCCCTTGCCTGCTTCCGCAGGCTTAATCTGGAAGTCGGCAATGCTCCAGAACAACATGTTCCCTGTCGTATCTGGGTCCATTGGCCTAAGGGGTGCATCCGGGTATAAGTCTTCGATAACCAACTGCGATGTGAGGCCTCCCTTGACAGCCCAGAACTTGAAGCGTCCATCCTCGAAAGGCGAATATGTGACCACGAAATAACGGTATTCACCATCCAATGCTCTCTCTGCGTTGAATACGCGGATAAACGACGATTCGGAGGGGTTCAGGGATAAGAAATTGGCGTCATTTTGTTGCACTTGGCGATTCAAGAGATCCTTCGAAGCGACAAGTTTATCCGTGGCAAGGTTCCATATCTTCAATGTGTGGTTCAGACAGACAACAAAGACGTATGTCTGGTCGGATGTAGTGGCAATCGCATTGGGGACATTTTGGTCGAGATTGCGTCCTCTGTATTTAACCGGCGGCGGCGCATGCCAGCGGACAAGGCCCCGAATCGAGGAGCCCCAAGTTCGTTCATCGAAGGTAAGAGGGGACCAGTTCGAGCCTAAGTCATAGTCAGTTCCCATGTCCCAACCAGAGGCCCATGTTTAGGAAGAGAAAGAAATACCGTCATCACCAGACCTCCTGGTCAGCCGCAGAAGCGACCCGTTGTCCAGAGAAACAAACAGCTCCAGCGGACTGCTAGCATGAAGCCGATGGGGATACGAAAAGGCCAACGGAGCCGGAACACACGTCTTGCACCACTCCGACACATTATCATCGATCGCAGACACCCTACGGAAGAATTCAGGTCGCAGCGTCAAGGTGTGCAGCTGCTTCGACGCCGTAAGAACAAACACGTTCAACGCCTCATGTTCCTCCAAATCCGCGAACTCGACACCGCACGGGAGGATCTCCTCCTGAAAGTCCAGGCGCAGCGTGACATTATATTCGTGATGCTCGATTCCGGCCTTGGTCAGGTCGACGCAGTGAAGTTCCAGGACTCTGTTGTCGTTGATCACTCTCCACAGGAACGACCGGGGATAGAGCTTGCGTTTCCGAAAGTAGAGGGATCCCTGGGTCGCGAGATGGCGTTTCGTGAATTCTTCGTCGTCCTTGGCTACTGGCAGGTCATTATCCGTTAAAGCAGAGAGCGTGAATCGGGCCCGGCGTTGCGTGCTCCCCTGGGTTGGGATCGGGATATTGACGACGGTGGTCGACGAGTACGGCCGCAGATCGACCCGGGTGTCTTTGTAGATTCTCGCCATGGTCGTGGGAATTGACGACAGAACAGCTTCTTCAAAACTAAAATCACATTCAGTTCAAGGCTCCATGGTTGTCCCTCGTCAGCCTCTGCGTCTGTCGCGGTGTTGTTGTTTTTTTTTTTCTCTTCGCTGACAGGCGCAAAGAAAGGCGGGAAAAGCTGAAGCTATTTTACAGTCTTGGCATTGGTCACCGCCATCAGTATACATACACGTGAATGCTTGAATAGCTACAGCAATGGAAATTTTGTACAATTATTTACTGGTGAATCAAATGACACAAGTTTCTGCTCTGAAGGGCTTATTTTGGAACATGACTATCAAGACAACCCAACAACCACCCTGGCATGTCGCGTATACAACCACCACACGCAGCTTCAACACATCTAACCAAACTCCCAAAGAAGAACGGCTTTCCAGTCAACCCAGGCCCATAGTGTGCATATTTTCCAGAGTGCGTCATTATAGCACCAGTCGACGGCGGAATGATCGGCCCAGTAATCATACACCAACATGTATCAGTGATAAACTGAACCCCGAATGCTTCTAGCTCCTGAATAAGTCCGGCTTGAGAAGCTAGACCGTAGGTAGAACGTCCACAGGTAACTGTAATGGCAACGTTATTGTCTTTCGTGCGGCCTCGACAGAGTTCAGCGAGCTTTCTGGTTTCCGTTAGGGAGAAGTGAGGGTTTCCGAGGGAGACCAGGTCTACTGGTTGAGGATGAGATGCACTGTTGAGCTGGTTCCAGCTCTCGGCTAGCCGCTTCGGCACTATTTCTATGGAGCGTGGATGAGATCTTTTGTCAATGACGGCGTCGAGTGAAGTTGCTTCAGGTGTGACCCCGACGATATGGAACATCGGAGCGCTCGACATAGTCGCGAATGCAGCTCCAAAGGCTTTAAGATCATCTTTGCATGGGCTCAATGACTCAAGCCCTTCCACCACTGGGATCTGACTAGGAGATATTGCTCCTAAGTGGTAGCCCAAGAGAGAATAAAAAGAGTCATCGATAATCGCAGCTCCAGGGACATCTGTAACTCTCACAATGAGTGAAGCCAGACGATTGGCTTCAACATGAGGACCTCCTTTTGGCGCCCGCCCAGTCAGGGCAATCGATATATCAAGGAAATCGGGATACTTCATGGTCTTCGCCCCGAGAACACTATTCACATAAACAACAGCATTGGACTCAGCCCATGCCACCTGCTCACCAAGTTTCGGTGCGCTTTCGAGTTGATAGGGAGCGCAGGTAAAGGTTGGTCGTGCACCCATATTGATGTAAGTATCTGCCAGTTTCCCAGCGGCTTCACCGAAAACGGGATCGATTCCTTGAGCGCGCCATCGTTGCTGATCAATGGATATGGAGTTGAGGGACGTTGGAACACGGACTTTTCCTCCCCAATCCCTAAGTTTCTCTGCAAACATAAGAGAGCCTGGTCCAGTGTAGATACAGCTGTCCACGTGGACCTGAGTAATATCCATCAACTCCCTGGCGCTAAGTAAATCTGCCATCCGGAGAATGATTCGCATCGATACCCGAGCAGCTTCACCGTAGGCACCATCCAAGAACGCTCTGTCAATATCTGAAAGCTCCACATCACTCGCAAGGGATAGAGACTGTTCGACACCGTTACCTGGTGAGTGTTCGTCCAGGGTAATGAGGGACTCGTCACTATAAACATGCCCATCAGCAACATGCAAGCAACGGCCATCCAACCCCAAAACCTCCCGAAAATCCTCCGGCCTCAGAATCATAACCGGAATAGCCTTCCCAAACATCTCCTCGGCAATCATTACCCCAAGAGTCAGGATATCCTCCCTTCTCTCGAATAAAATCGCCTTAGGCCCCTTTTCATTAAGCAGAAGCTCCAATATTACCCCGCTACCAGAGCATGAGCCACGACCACCCGGGATAGCGAGAATGGTGTCTTGAAGAAATTGCCCGCTCAATGTGTGGTGACGATCGATTATCTTGCCTGTTTGGGGGTTTACGCCGCCCCAGAAGCTCAATTCTGTGTTGCTGGCGAGGAGTTTGCCGGAGACTTTGCCTTGAACGTAGGCGGTTCCTTGGAATGCCTTTGTGGCCATGGTCCTTGGTATTGGGCTATTGCTCGGCTATGGCAAGTTTTGTGGATTTCTGTTGAGAAGTTAGCATCTAATTGATTGGAGGGGATAAAGGTGACGATTTACCTTTAATTGCCAGTTATTGTATTGTAAGCACTCCGCAGTCGTGCCTCAGTCGGTACTCTGTACATGTGAGGAATAGACAACAAAGTAGTAGTAGTAGTAGTAGTAGTAGTAGTTGCTATTTAACGTCTGGGAGGATTCCGGATCGGAACATAAGACGGGCAGAGCGGAACTGCCTGCCTAGAGCCTAAGGCTAATTAAGTACAGGAAGCACCTCCAGGAGGATGCTTAGTAATGGTGAGACCTCCTGGGTAGGCAGTAAAGTTGAGAGGTATAGGGGATCTATCCGGCATTTACCTGTTGTTTCGCAGGGGAAAAAACCCCACCCAGGCTCGGGGGAAAACCTGCGAGAGATAGATACTTGGTATAGACAAGATTTGTGGGCGAAGGATCAGGCAGAATTCGAACCTACAACCTGCCTGGTGATGTGCGCACTGGCAGGCTAGCCAGACTCAGTGTCCATACCACTGAGCTACTGGCCCGAATAGACAACAAACGAAGAATGGATTTGGGGGGATTGATAGTGTCAATCACGTGAAAGACTGCGTAAATTATTATTTTTTAGAATTGTATAGATTTTCGATCATTATAAGTATAAGGCATGGCAACTGGACAGGAAACAGTACATATACAGTAAAAATGAGCAGAACAATGTCATACATACTCATGGGAACGTTGAAATCGTCAAATAAAACGGAAACCCGGCACACCACCACTTATTCATTCTCCAAGTCCTTCGGACTAGGATCACCAATACCATCCTCATTAATAGCGAAGAGAGCATCACTCTCAGGCAAGCATGGACTGTCGTATATCTTGCATACTCTCGTCTCACCCCTCCCCTTCTTCAAGCTTAACCGGGTCGTACTAGCGTGCGCAATGATATTACCACCAATCGGTTTCTTGGGATCGGGGTTGAACATCGCACTCGGGCCGCCGTCAACCTGGGCGACGACCTGGTTGGTGATGACGACAGCGATACCGAACTCATCTGCTAGTCGTTGCAGCGTGCGCATGAATTTAGCCAAGTGGGTCTGTCGAGACGACAACTCTCCACGGCCGTTAAAATCGGTACGATATAGCGAGGTAGCAGAGTCGACAACAAGGAGCGAGAAACGGGTTTCACACATCATCTGGGATGCTTGGTTCAAGAGCTGAAGTTGGTGATCTGAGTTATATGCTCGGGCATATGCGACGTTATCGAGAACCTCCTCGCCAACCAATCCATATCGTTGAGCAACGGCCAGCAAACGCACGGGTCGGAATGTCCCCTCGGTGTCGATGTACAGGCATTTGCCCTCGCCCCCTCCCATGTCGAATGGTAATTGGCAGGTGACCGCAAGTGTGTGGCATATTTGACTCTTTCCTGTTCTGAACTCTCCGAAGATCTCGGTGATGGAGCCCGTTTCTATCCCACCTCCCAAGAGTGTGTCAAGTTGTTTGGATCCGGTCGTGATCGAAATAAGCTCGCTTCGTCGGGCGTGCATCTCGGTGGCGGTTGTGAAACCCATCGGTACGAGTTTGGCAGCTATAAGTCAGTGAAGTTAGAGAATGCGAGTTCAGACAGCGTCTTCTGTGACATACCTTCGACGAGGATTTTAGTAGCCTTCTGTTCCGAGATACCCTTGATCTGTTCCAGCAAACGTTTTGGTCTATACAGTGTAAGTTCATGACCAAGCCTCGAATCCTAACGCAGCAAACATACGTATATGCGATTGATTCAACGGTGTGGTAGCCCGCATCGACGAACAGCTTAATGTCTCTTCCCGTCAAACCTGCAACGCCCTACAAGAAACATATACGTTAGAGACACGCTTTCGCAAACAATAAGGCTTCTCGATATCCTATAATTCGCGACATCCCAAAGGACCATGGCTTACCTCCAGCGCCGAGAGCGGGGTGGGTGCTCCTGGGCCTGGAAGCCCATTCTCGTCAAGCAGTTCATTCTGGGACTCGACTTCGCCGGTCATCGTGATTCAAAGGGCAATGCTATCGACGGGATGGTGGGATCTCGTGAGTTCGCTAGAGTAAGGCCTCTGGCCTCTGGATAATGGTCGATCGACGTGAAGGCACGCGTTTGGATTCGGTTGCAATTCTGACTTTCTATATTGGAATTCTGCGATCTTTTTAAGGCAATTAGGGGGTCTGTTGCCTTCCGGTACTCTCCAACCAGGCAGAATTAGTGATTATAAAGGATTCGGGTCTGTTGCTGTGGCAAATCGTCTTCTGCCAAACCAAATGTTGCCTGGGCGTTGCGGACGCGTCGGGTCCGTCACGAAATCATGTGACCCATGTCGGGTTTGTGCCTCAGGATCCTAGAGGTTACAATACCGTACACCTCTGCAGATATCAATAACCATTCATTTTGCCTCTTGACACGCAGAGACAGTTTAGTTCATGCAACGTTCAATACATACAACATGCGATAGTCATTCCAAAACAAAAAAAAAAAAAAAGTACAAATACCCCCCAATTGGCCATACTTCTAAAAGAATGTTCACAGCGTCCACCGATATTTCCGACAAGATAGGAATACAGCAGTGCTTTCGGACGAAAATATATGACCACAAAACCAGTCTTGACTCGCAAGATTCACCGTGAGACCGAAACAAGATTGTTGGTTTAATCCGACACAAAGAGACGGCACCTCGATTTACAGACGCGACGACCTGGACATCCGCTTTTTGTCACCGTCCGTGCCTAGGGGCATAGGGCCTAGCTGGAATGTTTCCGTTGGTTGTACTTGGAGTTGTTCGTCAAAGAGCTTGCTGAAACGTCGTCTGATTTCTTCGGACGATGGGCGAACGTATTTTCCTAGAAGGGAAAGACTTGTCAGCATTATGTGTAGCTCCAACATTGCGGACGTGCATTACCTTCGAGTCCTGATTTCCGTTTGTATGTCTCTGGCGTCTTGGTTAACCACGAGCTACGGGGGCCGAACCATTGTCTCGAAAGGCGTGGTCCCGGTTCATGCGAGGCTCGCGGCTCAGGGTGCGTTGCGGCGGTCCGGATAGAGTGTAGGCTTGCACGAGGTATGTTCGTTGAGATGCTGGAAGCCCCCTCGTTGCCTAAGCCATTTCCATCCAACGCCCTCAAGGGAGCAGTCACCTGTGGTGCCGAAGGCAGAAGTTCCTTGTCATCGTTGGCATCTACCAAGGACGCTCTTTTCAAGGGCGAGCCGGTGGTGACAGGAGTCGATGGAGGGCTTATGGTCGGCGCAGGCTCTTTGGGGAGTTGATCTAGCGCCTCATTGCTAGAGATCCAAATTCCCTCAACCTGGACACCTCGTTGGAGAGCCCTGGCACCGAACGGGATATCGCTTGCGTGGGTCAACATCGGACGCAATTCGCCATCCTGCGCTTCGGTATCGTGCTCCGCTTTCTGATATGCTTCTGCCGTAGCGCGTCTGAGATTTCTTCGGTTGCGGAGGAGAATACAGAAGGAGTAGGTGAGAACGACAGCCTAGTCCTGTCAGTGGAAGGATCATGGAGGTTGGCAAGTGTTTCTGTTACCAGAATGCCTGCGAGCACCTATTGTTCGACAAACGGTCAGCGATAGTTCTTCAAGTGCTCCTCTGTGCTTGACGAAACTCACGAAGCATAGCTTCTGCCATATTTCCCAGCCGACCCAGAACTTCATTTTGGCTGATGTCGGGTGCTCGTCTGGTTGCAAATGCGAGACAGACTTAAAGAGTCCACGGGAGTAACAGCAGCAGTAAAGACTAGATGGGGCTGAGGATACTCGGGGGTAAATCAAGTTGACTGTAGATATGTCGTCGAGAGATGATCAAGAATAAACAAGTCAACGACCCATCACAAGGAATAAAGGATCGCTCGTTTGCTTTTGGTTGGCAGGGAAGCGTAACGATGGAGACGGATGATTGACAAGACATGACAGGAAGGGAATAGCGAGCAAACGGCTAGTACGCGGTATAGGACGAGTCGAGAGAGGAAGGCAGGCGTAGGTTGACTGGAAGGTGCGATGCCATCATGCGCCTTCCTTTTTGGGAAGCATGGCTACCTACTCCAAGTACCGGCTACGGAGTAATGCGATACGCAGCGCTCTCGACATCGAACCAAGCCTACTAGTAGAGTGTAAAATAAGTACGAGCATAAAATACTACTTTAGACGACATAAATAAGATATAATGATAATGAAAGTAAAATCACGAAAAGAAAAGAAAAAAAAAAAAAAAAATGCGGTTGTTCCACCAAACAGCCCATTTCCCTGTAACGAAACGGTGTCATCTGGCGACGCCATCCCAGGGTGGAGGAGTCTCTGCAGAATTGCTTCCCTCAAGGGTCACCTCCATTGCTTAGCGCGTTGTAGCGATCGTGGACTACTCGCACGAGTACAACGACGACCCCGGGATTCGTACCAGGCACCAGTCTCGCTGGCCGAAGCCGAAGCAAGGTCACGTGCTTAGCAGCGAACCTCCCACTAGGTTATCCATGACAGATTCTTATATATAACCCAATAGTAGTATATAGCCTTATTTTTCAGCCCTGTATGACATCAATGTCTTCAAACCTTTGCATGTAGCAATTAAACAATCAATAAGGAGTCTTACATACGTAGTAGAAATAAATTTTCATCCGAGTACTCCGAGTTCCCTGATCCTTTAAATTAATCCCTTATTCAGGGTCCGTCCCAACACGGAGCGCCGTGCCTGAATGTAACTGTACCCCATACGAGCTGATCATGTGCCTCGGCCTCACCCCTCCACCATAATCCCGGACTCTTTCCATTCAATGCCCAATTCTCCTTCACCCGGTCCCAATCTCGATAGATTTCTAAATACCGCATTCATCGGGTCTCAAAATGGTGCCCTTTCGTAACTTCTTGGCCAGAAAATCTGGTGCTTTGAACAACGCGCAAATCGAGAATAACAACAATGAAAACGAGCCTCCTTCCACGGATAGCCAGCGCGGGACTCCCCTGAGTGTCAGGACGAGTAGCGACAACCCCGATCCTCCGGAATACAAATTGAGCGGTAGGGCATTTGCTTGCGATATTCCGACAGCATCTAGGTTCGCTGATTGATCTTCAATGCGCTACAGTTGTCGATGACAATGGTTCTTATCTGCCGGTATGATTCGCCACAGTTGGCATCCATACCATTAAGAGACTAAGACTTTTACGGATAGCCCTCACCACCGGAGAAACAAAGCTTTTGGAGCAGATACCCTGGCTCAAACAGGTCGTCAAATAACCATCGGAGCCTTGTCAATGATAATGAGCCATTCTCGATATCCCGCGAATCGTTCGATTCTTATCGTCGGTCCTTTGTGAGTAATGCGCTCCGTCGTCTCTCAACTAACCAGACTCATCGCAATTCTTTCTTGTAGGATATCTCTGCCCGTTCCCCCGTGAGCTATAGCGACACAATGCCATCTCGAACTTCCCTCGACTCCCGCTTTTCCCGCATCACATCCCCTTCTCTGGGCCACAACGGATTCGACAGACCTGAACCCATGGAAGAGGAGCAATTCGAAGACGTCGGGCTCACCGATGATGAAGTGAAGCCGCCACCAAAAAAGAAAAACGTGTTCTCGCGATTTGGCGATTTGAATTTCGCAAACTCGAGCGACTCCCAGTCTTCAACTGGTTCGAAAATCTCGTCGCCGTTTGGCTTTCATCTTCCGGGAAGGAAACGAGGACAGAGCGGTGCAGGGTCTGAGCTAGGAACGGTGAACCCACCATCTGGCGACCACAATGTAAATGGACAATAATGTGGAATGCATTGGTTTGGAATATGCAGGCGTTGGGAGTTATATATCCTTTCGAACATGATTGATGCGACTATCCTACGCAATGTTCATACACGATGGCACTTTAATGTCCAGCCAGTTCCATGGCCGCCATAGTGAATAATTAACACCATCTAACCCCATTGTAGATCAGCGATCATCTCTTCTAGTGCATGAGAACCCATGCGGAGTCCCTGATGTGATTACCCTTTTGGGACGCTTATCACGATAGACACTGCAAACGGCACAAACACCACCCTCACCGCCCTGCAGAAAAAAACTTCCCCGGCAGTAAAAAGAAATTGCAGCAAAAAAATTACCGGGCAGTTATTCACACCGGAATAACCAGATATCAATCGCAAATCAATCAATTCAGGATGGCCGGTTTGAAGCGTACCGGAGACGCCCGCGACGACCGCAATGGCAAGCGGACGAAGGTGAAGGGAGGCGCTGTCCCTCCGCAGAAGACGAAAGCGGCTGCGCCTGTGAAGAAGGCGGTTTCTAAGCCTTCTAAGGCTGACTCAAAGAAGAAGGATTCCGCCAAGTCTGCGAAGACGGATCAGAAGAACGGGAAGAGCAAGAAGGTGCAAGAGGAATCTGAAGAAGAGGAGGATGAATTCGACCTTGACGATCTTTCGGACTCCAACGATGAGAAGGATCAGGATGAGGATATCGACATGGGTGGCTTGAGTGATGAGGGTAGCGATGACGATGACGATGAGGAGAATGACGAAGAGGACGAGGAGGAAAGGAAGCCTACGGCCGAGTCGAATGGGAAAATGTCGGAGGCTGAAAAAAGTATGCTAGTGTCGCATCCCAAAGTATGGATCAATGGCTAACGAGTCTATGCAAATCCTTAGACAACAACTCGCGCGAATCGCACATCAAACAAAAAGCCCTTCAACAAGAGCGCAAAGCCGCCAAGCCCAACGCCGACATCATCGCCCGATCCAAACAGCTCTGGGAACGCCTACGTCGGAAGTCGCATGTTCCTCTCGAGGAGCGGAAGAAGCTTATTGCAGAACTCGATGGGATTATCAGTGGCCGTGTGAAAGATTTCGTTTTCAAGCACGACTCGGTCCGTGTCATTCAAACCGCTTTAAAGTACGCCAACACCGAACAACGGAAGCAGATCGCACGTGAACTGAAGGGTAGCTACGTCGAGCTGGCGCAGAGCCGGTACGCCAAGTTCTTGATTGGAAAGTTGATTGTGCACGGAGATGCCGAGATTCGGGATATCATCATCCCCGAATTCTATGGTCACGTCAAGCGCCTTATTCGTCATCCCGAGGGTTCTTGGATTCTAGATGATATCTACCGTCAGGTCGCGACTAAGGATCAGAAAGCCAATCTGCTTAGGGAATGGTACGGACCGGAGTTTGCTATTTTCAGGGATAAGAGCGCAGTGCCGTCCGCAGACCTGTCTGAGATCCTCGCGAAGAATCCGGAGAAGCGATCGCCAGTGATGCACTTCCTGCACGAACTGATCAACCAGCTGGTGCAAAAGCAGTCCACGGGATTCACGATTCTGCACGACGCGATGTTGCAATACTTCCTGAACACGAAGACGGGAAGCACCGATGCCAGTGAATTTATCGAGCTGCTTAAGGGTGACGAAGAGGGTGATCTACTTAAGAACCTGTCTTTCACCAAGTCCGGATCGCGGTTGTTGTGCCTTGCTCTGGCTCATTCGAACGCAAAGGACCGGAAGCTGTTGATCAGAAACTTCAGAGATACGGTCAAGGTGATGGCAAGCGACCTTCACGGGCATACCGTCATTCTGACAGCCTTCGAAGTGATCGACGATACCAAGCTCACTGCAAAGACTTTCCTCACGGAGCTGCTGAACCAGAACGACGACGCGGAGACTAGAAACGAGGAGCTGATGTACCAGGTGAACGACCTGACGGGCCGTATCCCCATCCTCTTCCCATTCGCCGGTGACCGCGTCAAGTGGCTCCTCCCAGATTTAACCTCGGAGGCCCTCAAGGAAATCCGCGAGGTCCGCAAGGAGACCTCGAAGAAGGACCCCGAAGTCCGCCGACAAGAACTCGTTAAAGCAGCCTCGCCAACACTCCTCGAACTGATCGCCGCCCGCGCCGACTCCCTCCTTGAGACAAGTTTCGGCTGCCAACTCCTCTCCGAGGTCCTCTTCGACGCCGACGGCGACAAGACCGCCGCCTTGACCGCCGTCGCTGAAGCCGCCAAGTCGCGCTCCGACACCAAGGACGCGCCGTTTGTGGGACGACTGCTCAAGTCCCTCGTGCAGGGCGGCCGCTTCAACCCCGCAACCAAGTCCGTCGAGAAGGTCCAGCCCCCGCTCAACTTCCACACACACCTCTACGAGCAGATCCAAAGCGAAATCATGTCATGGGCCACTGGCTCGAACGTGTTCGTCGTCGTGGCATTGGCCGAGTCAGACGAGTTTGAGAAGAAGAACGAACTCCTCAAGACGCTGAAGAAGAACAAGAAGGCATTGGAGAAGGTCATTGCCGACGCAGCAGCTGAGCCCGGCAAGGACGGAAAGAAGGGCAAGGCTGGTCCTACGAGTAGCGGGGCGAAGTTGTTGTTGGAGAAGGTTTAATGGACATGTGCATTTGAGCGATTCTATTGGTATATGTATTGTTTCTCTCTTGATGTTTGGTCCTGGATAGGGCTTTGTACAGATTTGGTTTGCGGTCAGGAAAAAGTCATTTCAATTTTCAACTTGTTCGGCATGATTCGCTTGTACATCTAATACTGTTCGAATCGATATCTATACTCTGTATGACTGTCACTCCGCAAACGCGTGCAAAATCCGAGATGAGAATAATAAACGTCCCGAGGGCCCACATGAAGTCTAATCCTGTCTATACGAGATTTTACGAAAGTCTTTATTTCCCTTGTGCGGATCCAATTCGGGTATCCATGGGTTGAATATATAGAACCGCAATTCCGTATCTTAGCCCTAGCCTCATAACAAGCTGCAACATCTAGACCTACAGCCACAATGAGGCTTTCACTTCCACGGTAAACAATAGCCAATCTTCAATATCTGATCTTCTCAACGCTGCTTACAGCGGACCATACCCTAAGTGAGTCCCGCGACACGTGACAGGTCAAAGCAAGACCATTTTCTCGATCTGTCATTTGAGAAAGAAAGCTGATTGCCTACCCGAAAAGGAATAAAGTGAGACATCACAATGAGCACGAGTCAATGTTGTATGTACTGAGGTGTCACTCCACGTGCTCCGTATCAAGTATGAAAGGGGAAAATAAAGATGGACAGTACCCGACCAATAAGAAGCATCAGCCCCACTAAATAAGCCAAAGTTAGGGGTCACGTGGATATGGAAAGTTGCGCCCTTCCCAAACAGGTATAGCTTCAGGAACAGGGGGATACATTTATATCCCCTTCGGGTGCTTATAACACCGCCAGACGCCAAATGCCGATTCAAAAGGGAATAGGAAGCCCGTTCACACTAATAATTATAGATAAATGCCAATGGCTCCATTCTAACGTTCGCCGTTTTGTCCCTCACCGTCATCTTCGCAATTCGGCCGTCTCTCCTTTTCTTCAACCCGCACGGCTTAAAGAAAGGAAAAAACCCGCACTCCGTTTGACAGCAAACAAACGAACCGAAGAAGACAAACGACAGGCATTATGGCGGCTACACCGACTGACGATGCCCAGCGTCAACCTCCGGCGATTCCTCCATCACCAACATTGACGAACCCCGATATGATCTTGCCCGAGAACGAAGGCGAGCGCGAATCGCAAACTCCGTCTCCGCCTTTCAATCTCCCCTCTCTGTCGCATCTGCAGGCGTTCTATGGATATACAAATAATAATAATACTCTTAATCCGAATAATGATAATAATAATGATAATCACCTGGCCGTCGGCGGCGCGTCTTCTTCCATTGGCGTCGCCTATCCCCTCGCTAATACTGGCAATACTCGATCCTCCTCGAAGAAGAACTTTTCACGTCACACGGGCCACCGCTTGTCGGATATAGGGGAGGAGGATGGGCCGGGGCCCGTACCACCTCCGCGGTCGTCGTCGCGGACTGGTCGATTTCCGGTGAACACGCCTTCTACGGGGCAGGACTGGCGGGGGATGGCTGGTTCTCCGGCGACGCGAAATCGGACGGGGGAGGAGAGCGGGATGATCAATGGTGGTGGTCAAGCGCAACAATGGCAAGGGTCGGATCAGAAGGCGGTTCCTGGGAAAGTGCATTCGTTGCATATGGGTGTGAACGATATGAATAACCATAATGCGAATGGTCGGGACGGTACGCCGCTTGCGCCGGTTGCTGAGGGGGGCGGGCTGGGGGAGGAATTCTCGTCGGTGATTCTGAGCAGTGAGGCGGAAAGGATTCTGGATAATGCGAAGAAGAGACTTACGGTATGTACTGGGTTATCTTGTATGGAAATGCAAAACTGATGTGTGCAGCTTATGGAGGGAAACCTCACCAGAGCCCGTTCGTCGATGCGATCCCCGTCAATGTCGGCCTCAGCCTCGCCTTCACCACAGCTGGGACTTGGCCAGCCGGTGGGCGGACTGTATCGCACGATATCCAATTCAGACCGTCAAGCTTCCGCTGCCCTTCGTCCTCGTCCGATGTATAGCACCTACCAAGATGCGGCCGGTAACAGACACTCCCGAGTGCTGAGCGAAACCAACCTCCCGTCAGGACAGAACACCTCTGCTACCGAAGCCAATGGCATCTCACGTTCCGTTAGTGCAATGGGAACGACCACCCTCTCTCGAGACGACAAGTCATTCCGCTATGAACCAACCAGAGCATATCTCACCCATCGGGCATCTACACCATTGATGCAACAACACAGAAGTTCGCCAGCCCTCAACAGCAACAGCTCGCGTTCGAAGCAGAGCACACCGACATCTCCGGCAGGACTGGGCATTGTGAGTGACGGAGAAAACCAAGCCAAGATCAACAACATAGACGACTTCAATTCAGTCTATCCCGCGGATCCACCTTCGCGCACGCAGTCGCAGCTCCAAGTGCGCGATCTCCAGGACCAGATGAAGGGCCTTCATATCAAAATTTCCTCGTTGAAGGTCAAGACGCAAGAGGACGGTCTTCGTCGTCGCAGTCTACAGAGTCTGCGGACGCCAAGTCCTCTTACAGATGCGGAGTTGTGGTATGCGCGTGCGATGGATTATAAAGACCGGCGCGGTCACTTGAGCCCAAATCCGACGGGTTCTCGTTTATCGTTCGAGAGTGCTCGAGAAGTGAGCCGGAAAACGCCTAGTTCTAAGAGTCAGTCGCCGCGCACTGTTGAGAGCGATGAGCCAGTAATCGCAAGTGAACCCAAGAAGATCGATACAAGCCCCCAGATCAGCGAACAACCCTCTAACGAGAGTCTTTATCAAGACGCAGAAGAGGGTGAATTTGACGACTCTGATGACACTGAAATCGACCGGGAGGAGTTGAACGAAATCCTCCGGGAACCTCTAGATGACGACCTGGACGATCCAGCCTTGGAGCCTTTCTCTGGGACTCCGAATGCTGACGCGACGCCTCACGAGGAGCGCGAGGATGCGTTCGACTATGAACATTTCATCCTGCATAGTGCCCTGGGTAACTACTCGCGCTCGAAACTGCGTCGCGCGAGCAACATCTCCAATTCTTCTGTTGAGACCACACGGCCGGTGCATAACCGTTCTACGCGACACTCGCGAGCTAACAGCGGAGCATCGGTATCTACTGATGCTACTTTTGCTACCGCCGCAGAGGAGGGTGACTTCAATGGTGTTCTATACTGGGACCGGAAGTTCAACGATGGTAAGCCTCCTTAAACCCCCCCCAAATTGACCTCAACTAACTGTACAGAACTCCGCGCCCGCCACCACTACTCCCCCAGCGACGAAGACATCCCCATTGACCCCGAATCCTTCCCTGAGGAAGAAATGGGCACCCCCAAAGCCACCCGCCGCGAACCCCCTGGCCGCATCAACGGCCACATTCCCACCTCAACCGGCTCTCTCGAACCACCACCCCCCCGATCCGACACCACGGGATCCGCAACACCAACAGCTCTTGCCTCGTCACTTGTCTCGACGGTGCGTGCAGCCTCGAGCAGTCCCTACTCGCCTATGGAGCCGAATACTGGGTTGAACAATGACGACGAACGGCTACTGGAACAGCTGTTCCAGAGTCTGGGGAACGTGTGTATGGACTTGCAGAATATAACGACGGGCCCGGAGCCAGATGAGAAGGCAGTTAGGGTGTTGAGGAGGAGATTGGATGCGGCGAGGAGAGTTCTGGATGGGGAATTGGATGCTTAACTTTGTTTTTTTTTTTTTTTTTTTTTTTTTTT